TTCACAACATGACGCGTCACATCAAATGGGGGAAGTCTCTTTAATGATGAAATCTGTCAGGCGCTGTGTTAAAAAGATAAAGAGACCTGCCTTTTCTTTGCAATTTCGAGTATCTCTTTGTTTTATAACATTATTAATCCAGTTCTCCTTTTCTCTCGCTTTACTGCTGCCATAACTGATCAAATACATCAGGAACACAGGCTGAGCTGATCTTAACAGTGCATTAAAACCTGCCTGCAGTGTGGTGGTGATTCACTTGTTGGATTTTTGGAAAAAAAAAACAATCTGTAACAGTTGTTGTCTTGAGTCCCAGCTGCGAATAAAATGAACAGTGAAATGGAGTGATGACAGTTTGAGCTGTTCAGCTGTGACCATCGACAAACCACAGCTGAAACCTTTGCACTCTTATAATACTTAAAACAGCACTGCACTCTACTCAATTTAACAATGTCAATATTTCAGGAGCTGACCTAGAAACAGTCTTGTTCCCGGGTGAAACATCAGACATTTTGAGTTTACATAGCAGGTTCTGAAACGGTTTAATTAAAAAACATAAAGGAGTATGCAGTCTATTGGCTGCTGTTAAAATATGAACATTTGGAAAATTTGAAGGTCTGGATTTTTTTTAGTTTACATAACAGAGTATCCATTATCCTTTTACAACAGGTGTCTGTGGGCAGCTGCTTTCCTACCATGTTCTGAAAGAAACCTTTCAATTGAATTAATTATATGAAGGTACTGAGAAAGCATTTTTCTTCACCAATACTTACATGTACTTAAAGGACAACAGGAGTAGTTGGCAGAGCCCACTTGATTGCAGTAAAAAATGTCATGTAGGGGATTATAATGGATCTTTGATAAAAGAGCATCATTTCATTTAGGATTGACACTCTTTGGACACTTCATTCTTTAGACCAACTGAGTCTCCTCTCCAGTTCTTTCTTCTGAGGTTTAACCTTGAGATGAGAATGCGTTGAACATTCTTGCTCATTTGGAACTACACGTCTACATTTTTTTGCTTTCCTTATGAGCAAACAGGCTGTTATTAATTACATCATTTCCACTGCACAATGTTTCATGGCACCTTGTCTCCCCTCCTGTTTTTCCTCTGCTGTCATTTGATCTGTACTCCACCGCTGTGACGCAGACAGAGCGTTATTATTTCCTTCGTGGAAATGTCATCTTAATTAGATGTCCTCACAGGGAGGACAGTGGCGTCATCGGATCCATGGCATCCAGGTATTTTTCACCCATAAACATCAGCTCTCATGTTCACCAGCTGGTGCTCCCCCCGTGTACACGCAGCTCTTTACTAACACTTGAGGATTCTCATTTCCTCTTTGTGTCTTGACTGAAACAATGTGCTTTTGTGTTACTTTACAGCACAACACATTTACTGTAAATTATCTTCTATGTCAGTATGTGATTGATTTAACACAACTGTCTCAAACACTCCTCTGACAAAGAGAGAGGACATTTTTTAAGAAAGCAAAAAAATCTCCCATTTGCTTTGTGTCTTTCACTCCTCTTTACAGTGATGTCATCATCTTTTTTGCTCCCTTCACAATATCACTGTTAAAAATAATCAGAATCATTTTTCAGTTTACACTTCTCCCTTAATGACATGACTTGCATAGCAATCCTGTGCTTTTGATTAATAAATTGATAGAGATGAGACACTGTCTTACAACTTGTGAGTAAAGTTTACACATTTAAGATGACTCTGCAAACAGTCCCTGAAGAGTTAGAGGTGAAAAGGTACAATTCTAACATAATGACTTTATAACTCCCTTACTTTACTGGTTTTCATTAGAGTATTAAAGCCAGGGTCTATAATGCTAAAGAGTTTACAGTTAACATGATAATCCTAAAATTAAGCTCCCTTCTCTGTAATTTCCTGTGGATGTTTCATATCACACTTGCAGTTGCTTTTACTGAAGGAAAGTGATCAATTCAGTCAGTTTCACCAGCTCATCATGGGTCCGTGTAAAAGGCAATTTTCATGTGCATACATTAATGAGTGAAGACAGTGAAGTCAGAAAGGAGTCCTCCTAATTTCTCCTGACAAATTGGCAGCAGCCTTACCGCACCTTAACTCATATTCTTTGTGACAGACGACCTGAGGAGGAGATCAGGTTTAGATGAGGAGGAAGTTTACATCGGGATTGTTTAATCCAAAGACACCGGACCTGCTTGTTCGCTTCTGTGTGTCACGTTTTGGTTCAAGTCATTTCCCTGTACGCGGTGCCTCATTTGAAATCGAAACATCATTAAACGAGCCGTGCTTTGAACTGCTGGAGAAACACTGCTTTGGAGCTGAAGATCTTTGTGCTGATTTTCGTTGAGCTCTTTCTTTAAATGTGTATGCATAATGCACTGCGAGCGGGATTCTGTGTGCTGCTCAGGTGAAGTTTCTGTGCGCACGGTGCCATTAATAACACACGCACGTGCTATATCACATTCCATACGCCCCAGGAGCACGTGCCATGTCCCAAAGCTTTTACATTTAGATAATATTGACGCGTTAGCGCTCTGTATATCAACCTTTGGCATCATCAGCCATTGTTCCACAGCTTAGATATAATATATGATGAGTCTGAACAACATATCTAATCAATACTGTTATCTGTTGGTGAAAGCGTCATGTTGGTGGGGTGAGGAGCGGACAGGTGACATTTGGAAGGTCGCGTGATCGCCTGAGAAAAAGCTTCCCGACCAGTATTTCTTAAGAGTAGGCTAATACCCTTCACCAACCCCTCAGCTTCTAAGTGAGGGCCGTGTTTCTTTCGCTCGTAGTTAATTCAGGAATGACGCAGCTGAATTAGCGGACTATATGCATGGCGCTGCGCTCATGTGCGCGCGCCTAAGCTGCTTCTGAGCGCGAGCCCCGCCGCAGAGAGCAAACCAGTGAGGACTAATGGATGTTTTGACAGTCAGTGTGATTATGAAATGGTGCTTGAAGCAAATAAACAAGCGTGAATGTGCTATGGTCGTTCATTTCAGGTGATATTCTACCGCCGATTTGCACTCATTGCCTTATAAGGAAAGACAGTCGTGCCTGTCTGCAATAGGCCGAGCGCGGCAGCCTGCGGAAACCCTGCACTTTAACCCTTTCACTGCTGAATTTTATTTGGTCCAACCGTATGAAACAATGTAGAGAAGGCTTCATATGCAATTTATCGTTTTTAATTTAAAAGCAATACATCGCAAATGTACCAGTGCTGTAGCTATACATGTAATGAATAATCTGTAGCAGTAAACAACCGGATAGGCTATGTGATTTGTTACCCTCTCTTTGTCCCTTTGTATCAGCGTTTTTTAATATTCACTTAGGTGCCATTTGCAGACGAAACTTTAGGTTTGGTGCCAGAGGTTTGTGTGCCCCTTCAACGCCAGGCCTAAGCTGGTTCATACCGTGAATAATGTCTGCACGCGCCCCGTGCCAAGTGATAACGGGACCGGCTGGTGCCTGTCCTGTCCTGTCGGGCTCCGCGGTCAGAAATAAACCCTGCTGGATATAAAGCCGGCGGGGTTAGAGGATGCTGACCTACATCGGCTGCCACACAACCAGGGGCTGTTTTTTAACACCACGAAAATCCACCAGAAAATCCCCGCGATACGGTGCCATCTGAGATGTCATCTCTTTGTGCGACCTTGACTCGGAGGGGATATGGAAATCCATTCATTGTAATGCGCGTATCAGCGGCCCGCAATTTAACTGAACACAGGCAATGATTCACGTTGCATTATCATCCTTACAGAGGCGGCTCTATCCGATACTATAGAAGCATCTGGTGGGAATTTGTTTCCCCATTTCACCAGGATTCCCCGTAATAGACGAGGCCTTATTATGGTGGCGGCGCTACATCAGTTTCGCTTTGGCCTTGACGTTGGTTGGGCCTATCGTGGGATTTCAGGTGGGAGGATTTGTTTTGTGGTGTTGCTAGTCTTATAATTGCAGATAAAGCCGACAATATCATTCACCCCAGCTCATTATTACATGTTGGACAGCTCTATAGGCTATATAGGCCTACTGACGGCGCAGTTAGAAACATATCCCAAACGAACCCAGCCCAGTGATGTGCTTAATGCAACATTAAGCAGAAGGCCTTGCCAGGCTGAAACATTTAAGTTGGTGAGCAACACATTCAGACCATCACGGTTTAGGATAACACGCTTTCTTCTTTCATAGCACCCTCTTGCAGTTAGATCTCTCTTCACATGCAGCGACACAGGACGGAGACATGTTGAGTTCAGTGTCTCATCTCAGCCCGTACGTTGGACAACCGCAGGAACACATGCAGTTGTCGCACAACCAATGTACTTGCATTTGGGTGGACATTAGAAAATTAGAAAATGTGACGTATACCATTGTCTGTGTGCGCATTCATGTGCCGCGGAAGTTGATGTAGATGTTCTTTATAACCAAACACAACAGCAGCTGACTTCACACATTGACACACCTCAGTCAGAGCAAATAACTTCACGTCCTCCCATGGCACAGGTCTGAACACACTGTCTGTTAGAGGTAATACTGCCTGTAACAATTGTATTTTCTTATAGTTTTGTGCTACAATAGCCTATCAAGTGTGTGCGATTGATGCCTTAATAAGCTATGTGTCCGCACAAATGTCTGTTTTAAGCAGATACTGGCTAAAGGTTAAATAAGGCGTTAAAGTAGGCCTACATAGAAACACGAAAGGCTAATTTATTATTCAACAAAGAATGGGCTGAAATAATATAATTAACTCATGTGGGCTAAACCCGTTGTTGCTATGGTTTCCGTACCCCTCACAAAATATCACACCCTAGTGGATCGTTCATAGAAAAATCAGACTTTTCCTACACCTCAACTATCTGTAGCTTTGTTATGTATTGTTCGTACGCCACCGAAGTCGTGATTACACTTTTCCCGACAGCACTTTAAAGCAACACGGAAACAACCCCCGCCCCTATTACCGCCCCTCCTCTGACGTCACTCTAACGGCTATTTGCATGAAGTGTTTTCTGGCTGCAGCTTCAACTCGCCTGCAGAACGGGTCTCTCCGAGGGGGGAAAGCGAGGGAAGAGACGAAGTGATAATACGAGGAGGAGGGGGGCTCTTGTGTTTCACATCAGCGCAGCAGCAAGAAAAAAAACGTCCCGAAAGAGAGGATAAGGTGTCGGATCCCAAAAGCAGAGGGGGAAAAAACAGAAGAACCGCTTTTCTTGTATCGGAAAATGGAGCTACCCGCCGCGGGAGAGCACGTCTTTGCGGTGGAGAGCATCGAGAAGAAGCGCAGCAGGAAGGTTTGTATCAAGAGCACTGAAGGGCATTTTTACACACATTCACATGGAAAGGAGGATAATTTTCTTTGGTTTTCCTTCACCTTATTACGGACTACATGTTTTTTATTTATTGAATCGTTTGTAAGATGACGGTGCAATGCAGAGTGCATTTTGCTGCGTAAAGTAATGTAACGCTGATTATCCCGTTTCTCTCCATTCACAGGGGAGGTTTGAGTATCTGGTCAAGTGGCGCGGATGGTCTCCAAAGTAAGTCCCCTTTTAAAGCCTAACACTGATACTCATAATGATAACACAAAATTCAAAACAGAAGTGTGTGTGTGTGTGTGTGTGTGTGACATCCGTGCGAGCGTGGGCGCGCAAATGGGCGGTTGCGCGTTCTTGCTTTGGACGCTCGACGCGTTGGCCTCGATGATGGATGTGGTTTTACAATATATGTAGTCCCCAGTGTGCCAATTAAAGGAAGACATGGCTATATTTGAACCCTATGTTTAAGAAATGCCTATATATCTACAGTTGAGTGGAGGCTGGGCCAGTGTATCCCCTCCATCTCCCCCACTGCCGCGCGTAAAAGTTACTCATGATTTATTACACGTGCATCCACAGGGAGTGCAAGTGTCTCAGCATGTTGTTTACACATGTACATGCCTACAAGTATGAGCTATGGGGGGATTAATAAGTCAAGGACTGGGTTAGGGCCTTTTGAGGCTTTTTGGGGGTAGAAATGACCTTCTGTCCTCAGCCAGTGTCTGTTAAAGTCCGCCACTGTTTGACAGGCCAGTGTGTCCTCACTGCTCACTGTCTCCTCTCTGAATAGATATAACACCTGGGAACCAGAGGAAAACATCCTGGACCCAAGACTTCTTGATGCTTTCCAAGCCAGGTAAGTTCAGAGTTGGATAAGCTGTCCACAGTATAAATCACACAATAACACAAAACTGCAGATTCCTACATTTCGAATTGCCTGTCACTCAGCGGCATGTTTAAAGTAGGAGCTCTCTGTGTGTTTGTAGTCAGGAACTATGCTGCCTGGTCACACCATCTGGATAATACCATGTTGATAAGAAACTATCCATACAATGTGTAGATTAAATGTGCAGGGCCTTGGGGTTTGGAATAGGCTTAACACTGGTGACATCAGAGATCAGGTTAGGGTTAAACTCAGGCCAAGGTTTCCAAAGTAAACTGTGACACTTTGTTGCACCTACTTTTTGTCACCTGATAGTCAGCATCAGGTTATCATGCTAAAGTGCTACTTGCTGTCCCACCACTCGGTCACCAGATGCACCTGTGTCATCTTCCAATGGAAATGGCAGCCAATTGTATAACCCAATAAACCAGTTATTGTTGATTATGCAAAAATGCTAAACTTACTAAAACTAAAGTTCTGTTTGGATCATTTCTAATTTGGTAAATTGGTTATTTTTTCAGACTTTACTCATGTGCACCTTTATTTAAGTAGATACAAACTTTAGACCCCTTGCAGAAATGTTTAACACATAAAATATACTATGAATAATAATGTGTGTCTGATACAATACATTTTTTTCCACAAAAAAGGTTTAATTACCTTATTGAAAATAAATAAAATAACTTCTACTTCTTCTCCCTGCTTGAAAAATCCAAAATGAATATGCAAATGTTGTTCATTTTAAAAGTGAAAGTACAAGACACGCTGTCTCTTACTTAAGTGAAAAGTCAGTTGTCAGTGAATGTTTGCTGGACGTTTCAGGTTTCCACAGCACACTTGTGTAAACTGGCTTTTAAACCATTTGTAATATCACAAAATTGTGCTTGTATGTCCACGTGTGTCAGACTTGAGTGAGCACAGAGAAACTTTCCCCCTCCAGGAGGTGAATGAAAACAGTGAATGAAAACAGAGTGTCAAACTCTGCAGATACATCATTCTGCAATGTGAAGGTCAAACATCTAAGTGAAGTAACAATATGCAAAACCAATTTTTTGACTGGAGGAGGACTTTAAATTATGGTTCACATCTTTTCTAAATCTGCTTTAAATGTGGAAAGGCAAGAGCAAATGAAGATTATTGTGAGCATGGAACCAAATAGTAGCTGAGTAAATGTTACAAATCATAGGTGCATGCACATCTCAAAATTTAACCAGAGTAACTTCCTCATGTTCTCTATTAGTAAAATAGAGCAATTAGCTGCTTGGCTAATTGCTAAATAGTCTGTTGAGTGACTGACCAGATAGCTCCACGCGAATGACAGAGTGATTGAATATCTTAAATGCATAGCGTGTTAAACTGTCACTGGCTTTTCTCCTAGTCTCCCTCAGGTTTTGCTTACAACAACCTTTCAGGTGCAGGTCACACATAAAAGCAAAACATCGACATCACTCTGTGTCTGCTTTTGCAATTACCTCTCTCCCTCTAAAGAGGAGAGATTTTATTGAAACTAATTGCGTGTCTCTCCGGGGAGCCAAATCGTCTGAATGCCAGGCTATGAAAATACACTGAGTCGTCATTGTAATTAGATGTGAGGGAGGAGGGTGGGGGAGGGGACTGACATCACTTCTGTCTGCGGTATTGAGTTACTGCCTTGGAGAGACTTGCATGGAGACTGAGGAAAGCTAAGGAAAGTCAGAGAAGCACTGGCCTTTATCTTCTACTGTGGAGACACACATTGTATGGGATAATGACTGTTTAGCTTTTAGTCGCTGTTAAGTGCAGTGAGGAATTAACAAAAAGAAAGGTTGGGATACTGTCAAAAGGTGTATAATACTGTACATAATAATGAAACTAAAATGCATGCGCTTTGAACCCGTTTTAAATGAATTTCACTTTGCATCAGGAAGTGTAACTCCAACCTTTAACTGATTCACTGTTGTCTCATTGAGCCTTAGGAAGACACACGTTGTGTTGCCATGCAACAGCGACTCATCTCTGTGAGATTGTTTCACTGATTGGCTGCTGTTTTCTTCTCCCACAGGGAACGTCAAGAGCAGCTGATGGGATATCGCAAGAGAGGACCCAAGCCCAAGCACCTGCTGGTTCAGGTGAGGAAAAAAATTATATTTAATATTTCTCTTCATATTATCAGTAATGTAAATGATGAATCACAGCCATGAGGCCTTTTCATGTGCAATCCCTCTCAAATCCCTGGAAATCCCAGGAAGCAGTATATAAAAATGTTGAATTTCTAATATGAGATGCAGATTTAAAGGGACACTCCAGGGATTTAATATTGCATCAAAAAATAATAGTCAAAACTAAATCAGCAAAAGGCAGAGATATCCTTACTTTGAGTCTCTAGACTGGTTCAGGCTCTGGAAATGCAGTATCCTACATTTCCATAATGCAGCGCAAAAGCAATATTTAAGCAATTCTCAGACTTCAACAGAAGACTTGCAACTAATCTCTATGTTTGGAGCACTTGCCCATTGAAAATTTAAATATTTATTACAAAACAATAAATATGTGAGGAGATATTATCTCCATTCAGTTTTATGGGGACCAGTTCCCTGACCTAACAGTTGTAGCTAAATGACTGTGAATCGTACATTTAGCGCATCAATCACCGGTCCAAAAGGGCAGGGGAACCCCTCAGAGGAGTGTTTTTGTTCCTCTCAGGAGGGTGTTGGTGGTAACACATGGGATAAAGTCAATGACGGGACACAAAGCAGCCAGTGACATTCCTCTGAGCTGAGGTCACAGCCACAGGAGACACTTTGAAATGTCACTCTGATGGCCAAGCCGGTGGCTGAAAGGGCTGTACAGGAGCTGTAGGAGGGCTATGTGAACATGGATGAAGGCCCCTGAAATAAACAGTGTGCTCGTTGGGGCCTCAGAAGAGCCCCTTCACACATTCCAAGCACAGTTTCTTTGGTGCAACTCATGGGCCCCAAGACACATTTATAGGTACTGTAGACAGTTGAACTATTAATCAAATGCCCTACAGAGAGGGAAGCCCTTAAACACTTACGGCAAAAGCACCAGACATTCCCTAATTCTTCATGTAATACGGACGGAGCTATATGTTATTGAGCCTTTTTTTAATAACACAAACTGGTCTGGTCTCACAGGTTCCTTCTTTCGCCCGGAGATCCAGTATTCTGGCTGACCTTCATGAGGCGTCCCTGGATGAGGACAGCTGTCAGAAGACCAGCCCCATCCAGATGCTCCGTCCCCAGAGCCAGCAGTACCAGCTGAACAGCAAGAAGCACCACCCTTACCAGCCGCTGTGCATGGAGCGTGAGGGTGAGCAGCAGGCCAACGGCAAGAAGTTCTACTATCAGCTCAACAGCAAGAAGCACCACCACTACCAGCCGGACCTCAAGGGGCACGAGCCCATATTTGCCAGACCCAGAGAGTTAAATGCTCCGGAGCTGGCTAACAAAGGGTACAACCTTCCCCCTGTGCTGCAGCAAAAATGGGTCCGGGACAAGGACTCGGGCTGCCTGACCAAAGTCAAGGATATCACCATGGAGCTAAAGAAGCTTCCAGCAGACCTCAATGGCCACAAAGAGCCAGAGAAGGTAAACCCTAAAGAGGATGCTTTACCGCAGTCTAATGGTGGCAGCAACAGCAAGCTAAAGATTGTGAAGAACAAAAACAAGAACGGCCGGATTGTTATTGTCATGAGCAAGTACATGGAAAATGGAATGCAAGCGGCTAAGATTAAAAATGGTGACTCTGAAACTGCTGAGAAGCCGCAAGGAATAGACCACAGCACAGAGAACCACCTCGAGAAGATGAAACTCGTCAAGAAGCTCGGCCTCATGAACGGATTTGCAAAAAACCCCAAAGACAAACTGGCTGTTCCCAATTCTGGATTTAACAGAGATTGCCCCAAAGAAAAGGAACAGTCCCCTAAAATGAAGCCAACTGTGACGGAACAGGATAAACATGTCGAGGTCAGGGTTCAGGGGCAGCTTCCAGCGGATCAGCCTTTGCAATTGACAACCAAGCCTAATCTGCTCCCCCTGCCTTTGGATAGGGGAGTTCCTTCCCCACTGGACAAAAGAGGAAGCCAAGGTGGATTTCAAGGACTAAAGCGCCACTTCTCTGACACAGACAGTGAGGAGCATGGGAGTAGTAAGAGGTTTTTGAGCTCCAGGAGTTTCAGCACTCCTAACACAGCACCTTCACCCACCCAAAACATCAGCATCGACCAAAACGGACACCACAGTCTCACTGGACTGCAGGACTGTGGCTATGCAGACCAAGAGGAACCTATTGACTTGAGCATTGTCAAGTTCAGGCCTAAAGCTACCCAGGCTGAAGCACACGCACAAGCTGAAACTGTAACACAAGCTGAAACACACACACAGGATGACGCAGACACACAAGCCGAAACACAAACAGACGTACAGACGGAAACTCAGTCCCAGATTGAAACACAAAAAACTACAGAGGAGGAGAAAGTCGACTCATTGTCTGTTTCTAACCAGGAAAAGGGAAACGGGGAGACATTCCCCCCCAGCCAGCCTTTCCTTGGGAATATAGTGATCACAGACATTACTACAAACTGCCTCACGGTCACCTTTAAGGAATACATAACTGCGTAACTGAACTGTGTACCAACTGTGTACCTGTATAAATGTACATTTTATATATTTGTATTTTCAGATTCTTGAATGTACAAATCGACCCTTGATGTTGTTTTGATTTGCATAGTTCTGATTAAACGAAAGATCCTTTATTGCGTTATTTGCATATTTCTTCTTATAAGCTCTACCTGTTGTTATTTTTGGAGATTTTATCACATGCAAAATCGAATTTCAGCTATTTCAAACTTTTAAAAAGCCACATTTTGTCAAAGAAATGTCAGAACTTTAATTGAAGATGCACTTAATTCTTGTAAATACTCTCCTCTTTTCTATGGATGGAATTTGATTATACACTCGACTGTCTGCATCTCAGATGATGTTTCACAAATGTAGGCTACATGGAGAATTTTGTAAGGAAGAAATATTATATTGAAACATGGTAAATTACACTGTGTGTGTGTGCGTGCGAACAGATGGACAAATTTAAACAAGGATGCATGCTGCTTGGACAGATTATGCCATTAGGTATGCTTAAACAAGCAGATAGTAAGAAAAATTAATCGCCTTTCTGTCAATAAATGTGATTTGCATTGTTGATGGGGAAACTGGGATGGTTCTATAATGAAAGATTATTAATGGTTAATGTTTGATATATGGTTTCTGTTGAAAGTTAAACTGTTTTGTAGTTGGGTATCCAGAGACCTGATACTGAGCACAAGTCACTTCCATTAAGACAGCGGATATACAACCCTGTGACTCTATTCAGTTGATGTTTTGCAGCAGTTCATTGACTAAGTGGCTTTTGTCATTTGAATTATATCAGTCACAAATCTGTGTTTAACACTGCCAGTTGAGCCGTGTATTCCAACAGATTAGTACCACCAGCTGGGTGCTCTATGATTCAGTTTTTCATGTTTCCTTTCTCTGACACCCTGACATAGGCTGTTATGTATGGGTTTGAATTTGCTTCTCTTGGTGTCATATTTTGAGGAACTTTTGCAGCAAAGTGTTCATTAAAAGTATGTAAAAGCACACATTCTTGTCATAATCAGATCTGTTACCTTGTGTCATATCTAACCCCTATTTTAAAAATCCCTTCCAGCACTCTGTGATGTGAAGTGCATTGAACTGCTCTGTGAGAACGACAGATGCACTTTTGATGTTTTGTGTGCAAAAAATGAAGGCTTCCAATGGTACATTTTGCAATAATAAAAATTGTTTGCAAGTGGTGTATGGACTTGTGTGCAATACCTTTCTTTTTATACTTATGTGTGTATACTAGCCTGCAAAATCCTATAGGCCTACCAGACGCCCCATGGCTGGTATCCCACATCGCATGTGACCCTGACTTCCTACGGAAAATCAAAGATTTTAAGCAGAAATAGCCAGCAGCTATAATGCTCTTAAATGGTTAACCTTATACCTCAGACGTTTCTAAATGTGTACATGGCTCTGTTCCTGGCTATGTGCGTGTGCGTGTTCGTAAACTGCGGGCCGTGAGGATTATTACAGAGCCTTTGAGTTTATTTTCAGATGGAGCTGCCCGGACCAGCTATTTGCCTTGCATGCGTGCTGTAGCTACAGGTCAGGCCTAGTTTACTGCCACATGTGTTAAAATGAACATTACAGGTCTGTGGTATTTGAAGTGTATGGTATCAATAGGCTATGTCCAAGACATGCTTTAAAGATCGCCAGATGATTTGTGATTTCATGATTGTTCATTTGCATGCTGTCTATCTATCTATCTATCTATTCTATCCACTGTGAGCCGGGGTTTGCTTTGTGCTTGAACCAAAACTTTCATGCGTCTTTGAACTTAGGACATTAGTCTTTTAAAGCTCATAATTTTGACCGGAACAGCTGTTCGTGTCAGATGTTTCTTGAGTAAATCCTCCTGACATGCTGAGAGAGACACAGCGGGGGTGGGGGGCGCGACTGATTTCTGTGTTTGACCTACAGGTTCAGCTAAAATTACATTACGCAGGCTTTTATTTCCCCGGTCTCTTATTTCTCCCATTCATCTATGATGCAGCCAGCCGCGGTTCCTCTGGATGGGGGCGCTTAAAAGGAAAGATGTGCAGAGGAGCTCCGTCCTCTCCTGCTTCATAAACCTCCCGAGAAAATGCTCCTGTCTGCTGTCACTTGAGCGTATAACCCCTGCCTGTTGTCTCTATATGGGCGAGTGATTGATATCCGCCTTTCCCGACGCTGTAAACGCATGACTTGTCTTGAGACGACCGACATGATAGAGACGGTAGCTCCCGACCATTTCCTCGGCTGCCGCCCGCCAATAAAAGCTGCTTTCTGTGCGCGTTAATGTGAGCAGCGGCAGAGAAAATGGCTGTGCTCTCTCTCCATTCTATCCACTTTCTTTTCTAGCGCGTCTGTGGCTGAAACGCCTCGCAGCTGCTGCGGCCGACAAATAATTGCAACAATGTTTTTAGCAAAAGAAGCCACAGCAGGAAATTCCCCGCAGGATCTGAAACGACAGTATTTCCTCTAAAACTCGCATGGCTTGTTTGCTTGTAGGCCCGTGTTGGCAAACGAACTGCCATCCTGTTGGCCACGTTCTCCGATAAATAGAACAAGAAGTGTATAAAATGGTGTAAAACCATGAGCCACCCTCTTTTCCTCTTCCTCTTATCTGTCAGCTCAAGCTGAATTTGTGCATGCATGGCTGCGTTAGGCCTGTATGTGCACTCTGACAAACTTTTAAACGATATACTCGGATGTAATGTGCTGTTAATTTACAAATTCACTGACATTATGCAGGGCATCCATTGATAGAAGAAGAAACAACGCTTTTGACAGCATTATTATAATTCTGAGCCAGACATGTTTCCACAGATCCCTCCTCAGTAGGCCTACAGTTTATTTCCACACAGACATTATACAAGTGCACGCAGAGCAGATTTTAACCTGAATCACAGATTTCGACATCAAGGCACACCCGTAGAATAAAGACAAAGCTGGAATACAACATTTGCAACAAACACAATCCTTCAGACGTTCTTTATTTAATTGTATAAATAATAAATAATACAGTCTTTTTGTCTGTCAGGAGCTGAACACAAAATAGGCCACACTTCTGCTGAATAGGTAAAGATGCAAAAAAAAATGAACTCCACTGCTTACATCTTGGGCTAGAACTATTTTATTTTGTATAAATTAATTCACTTTGTTAAAAAAATAAAAAAAAAACAGCATATAGGCTAGGTCCACTATCAGAGCGATACAGAATATTCATATCAAATTCATCTATTTACTGTGTCTTTGCAAAAACCGATACAAAGACACAAAGTATTTCCACGTTATCCTCGTTAAAAACTCGGAATGAGATGTTGGAGATGGATATGACAAACAGCAACCGCCGCACACACACTGCAGCTGGCTGACTAACCTGCCGGGATCACCAGCTGGGTCCAGTTTGGTGACAAACACAACAAGTGACTAAACCCCAGAGCCTCCAGCAGTGGCGGTTGCGTTAGTGCTGACCTCTCGGGCAACAACGTAGATGACACAGGCTTGTGTGGGCTTTGACGGTAACAAGATTATCCAGTCTCTCCAGTGTTTTCAGTGTGGAGTTAATTTGGCGATTTGTACGTGGCAAGCGCCCGCGACTACGCACGCTGGTGTTCATTAGGCCTACGTGTTCATTCACGTGCGGAAACACCCAGCCTAAACACCAGACACCATATTGTCTGGTTCTTTTGGAAGAGGTTAACGCGAAGATTTGTGTCCTACAAAGAAATCTTTTTTTCTTAAGGCAAGAGAAAGAAACCCTATAAAACACATAAATACAAAGCTTGTATGTTGATGGTTACCTGTGTGTATGACGACCCATGAGATTAAACTCTTCCTCCCCTTTTCATTAGTTTTCCATATAGTTTATTGGCTACCTACATTTGTGAATAAATTAAAAGTGTGGTCCGGCAGAAATGGTTGCAAAAAGAAGCCTGCAGACAAAGAAGAAAAAGAGGAACACCCTTTCATTTTGGCGTTGGTTGTTTCAGTTCATGATCGCCGCGCCCTGTGTTTCAGAATCATTCCACCTCAGACAACAAAGATCTGATCAAACTGGCTTAATGGGGGCAACATCTATCCTGACCCCTATCTATCTTTCTCTTTCCATATTACTGCATTTTCCACATCACTGCCTGTGTGCTGTGGCAGGGATTCCCCGTTCGTGCGCGCGGTAGGAACCCGCGTCTTGCCCGGATACAAGCCAACCAATGGTGTTTTAACGGTGGCAGCACTGCTGCACTGCAGGCGCGCCGAGACCAATCGCATCCAGAGTCTGAAATGCGCCCATCTTCGCTTTCTCTCTGTGCTGAGTGTTTGTGCATTGCAGGAAAGGAAAGGAGTAACCTAAACTACATCCAAAACCAAATCATAATTAGCCTAGACAAACGTCCTCCTTGACTAAGAAATAAATAGAATTTACTGTAGGCAGTGATGTATTATATAATAATAATATGGATTATCTGTTTTCCTTAAAATATTCCGATATAGGGTTTAACACAACGTTACACTTTCACAGTCAGTCTAATAAAATGTGTCTTCCAAAAATCAAATGTTTGATAAAATTGGTTCAGATGGATTTACTTTCTATGACATTTCATTTATGGCTTCAGCTCTGAGCAAAATAATCTGGTACAGTCCCAGCTATTGTGCACGCATGAAACAAATCAGCAAAGAGTGCGATGACTGGAGACACAGTCTGTGCTCCGCTTCACTTATTCTGTAGCTATATGGTTTCTCTTTAGGCCGCCGTCCCTGCAAACGAACAGATTTGGTGGAAGCATGCATGTTGGAAGTGCAAGAAAAACAATAGCCTATAGCCTAATACCAAACTTGGTATCAAAGAACTGGCCTCTAAATGAAGACGTTTGAGAAAATTAAATTCACCATGGCATATCTGTGCGGCTTGCAGACGAAGCAATTCATTAATCATTTGCCCCTAACGAACTTAAAATGACAAATATTCTGACGACAAATGAAGTAGGCCTAAACCACATTAAAAGTTGGTTAGTGGCCAGTGTAATAAATCACTGACTCTTAATTATGCCACTGCGTTAATTGTCAAGGCCTTTAGATGCAGCTTCTGCCTTGATCTGTGCGCTCAATTGAATGGAAATATATAGATGTGGGCTCGTGGGATACGTGTATGACACGTCAGCTGTTTACGTAAAGCCGCCGGTCCGAGTCAATATTCCGTCGGTCGGTGCCGGTTGTTCTGGTCTTGATGCGCCGTTCAATCCCATGTGTAGTTTCATCTGTCTGACGACTTTGTCTTCACTGAGAGCACAGATTTAACTGGTTATCTTGAAAAACAAAGACGATTTGAAATGATTTGCGGTTTGACTTCGAAGCTTTAAAGTGACTTTGATGTACAGTGTCTAATTCAGAAAGTCAGCTTTGCCTGTTCTTCACACACAGCAGAGAGAGGGGGGAAATAATATAGCCTAATTTAAATAGACAGTTTTTTAATTTGCCTAGACTATAGCCTAATGTTTAAATCGACGGTACACTGATTTGGCTTTGTAACTGTCTCTTAAAGGTATTTTTTTGTGCAGTGGATATGTTATTTTCTAATTTAAATTTTCATTGGGCACGCCCTGTCGAAACAAGCCACTTTATATCCAGGCTGACTGTCGCTTTGGTCTGTACAGGAAAATACAGGCATGGGAGACTGGCAGAATTAAAACAAAACTCTATTTTAATATAAACATCTATTAGAATAATCGTTGGTTATTAGTCCTTAAATAAGGCTGAGTCCAGACGACTAAACAACTGTTAATAGTTTAACAAAAATCACTCAGCAGTCATCGGGTCATCACTTCGGGCTGCAGAAGTCGCATTATAATTCTTGGTTATTTTTCCCTTTTTTCTGTGGGCCTATCTTTTACAGATGTTTTCTGATTTATTTAAATTAGACCTAATTAAAAGTTAATGAACGGTGAATATAAGGCTTTAGCAGAGCTTGGCTATATATTTAGTTTTTACTCACCATACAAAAACTAATATGTATTGAATCTTATTTTATGATTATTTGACAAATACTCATATTGAACTCTAATGAGTTGTAACTTTCTTATTTTATAAAACTGATTGTTCTGTTGCCTAGCTATTCAAATTATTGTTTTTATTAGGCTTTATTCTTATAAATTACAATTAATTGTTTTATTTATTATTTCCGCCTTTTGTAAAGGCAGCCTTTGCCCCTTAAATCTTTTTTTGTGTCTTTGCTTAAAAATATAGGCTATAGGCTGTCTACCGGCACGTGAAACAGGGATCTGATTCTTGAGATAAAGCCAAGGCATTGTGAGTTTTTTGTTGCTGTTTTTTTCAGTCAAGCTGTGATTGGAAAATGGGATTTTATTTAGGCCTAGTATTTATTTTAATCAATGTTTTAGAGTTTAAGATGCTAAAATAATGTTTTCCTTTCTCTGGTGTTTACTTTTATTATTTTCTGCCTTGGATGGCGCACTAAAAACAACAGGCCTAATGGATGCCTAGATAACTTTGGAGTAGGCTGATCTCACCAGAAAAAAAAAAAAAAAAACCACATAGGCGACATAAAAAACTGTTACCCCGTGGTTAGAATTCACGCAATCCGCAAGCTGTTTTCATATGTTTTATTGAACAGATCAACAGTGTGACTATTTAGAGGGAGGTAACAGATAGCCTAACATTGGCCGGAACCTTGCCATAATATGGCTACAGATAAACTGAAAGCGTTGCTAAATGTCTACATTCATTCGTTTAACCATTTTTATAGCCTAAATTGCATAATGGTCAGTGACAGAACTCGCACGCACTGTCATTTCACGCGACTATAGGCCTATTGATTTGTTTTTGTTGTTAAAGCCTACCACAATTTATCCACCTCTCTCTGTGAGGTGGATGACATTTATTTTATTGAAATGCGGAGATATTTTAAACTACAACGCGCCATGAGTATTGGCAACAAATTCGACACATAGCCTACGTCTTAAAACGTCGCCTTCAAAGTTAACGTACAAAGGGTGTTTATATGAAATCATAAATAGAAACAGTCCTGTCTGACAGAAACAGTGCAGTGATCCTCTGTGCTTGAGGCTTGAGGCAGAGAGGAAAGACGGGCGGTAACGAGTTCACACCGTCCATGACAGTTTGTGTGCTTTATGGACTAACATGACTTTAATCGCCTCGGCGTTAGATAACAGAGACATTGTTGGATAGAATAAACGAAAATGAGGGATGTTTCTCGCGCTGTAGAATAACTAACAGCGTTGTTATTTCCTGGTATCTGTATTTGCTTGACGACACTGTCGCATGAATAATCCCAGACTACTTTTGACACCACGTGCATTTTGAATATCTCACATAACTTGCGCGAAATGATTCACTAGCCGCGAGGGGGGAAAAGCCGCCCCCCAGTCCTCCTCCCCCCCGAAAGAATTCATACAGGCGCACGCTCCTCCCCTCACTTAGCAACCCGAGCACGTAGCAACGGCTGGACCAATGGGCGCTCTTCTAGAGGTTCCACCGACTGCGGTTCCTTAGCAACGCTGTAAAAAAAAAAAAACTTGCGCTGACGTCCATTCTGTTCGGGAGTATTATGGTCTGTCGGGAATTCAGAGTGTGGCTGCTGGGACTGGAGAAAAATATCTGCTCTGCTAACGTTAGCGTCCGCCGAGCTAACGGTAGGTAGCACTGGAGTAAACATGGAGCTGTCTGCCGTCGGGGAGAGGGTGTTCGCTGCCGAGTCTATCATCAAACGAAGGATAAGGAAGGTAGGCGTGAGGTGTAACGTGCCCTTTTCTCCCAGAGCGTTGGACATTACGCACCGACACCTCTTAATACCGCCGTTGCCCTGCAAGCTAATGAAGTATTTGCTGTTTGTTTCTGATGGCATGCAGGGTCGGATTGAATACCTTGTGAAATGGAAGGGCTGGTCTCCCAAGTAAGTCCTGCTACACTGCGGTCTTGCATTTTTTTCTACTCGCGGCTGTGGTGTCTGTACTGTCTCGGCTGTGGCTGTCGTTAGCTCGCCAGAGCTAGCGAAGACAGCCCGGATTAAAACTGAGGTGTACGGCACGATGGAGATTTTAGCTCGCAGGCTAACGCTGTGGTCATAGTCATAGCGTGTGTCAGCGCTCGCTTCCTCAATGATTAACGTAATGTTTTTATTCACAGATACAGCACTTGGGAACCCGAGGAGAATATTTTGGACTCCCGCCTGTTTGCCGCTTTTGAGCAGAGGTAAGATGTCCGGGCTGGCCTTCACGGGCAGAGCCAGTGAATGTTAACACGTCCAATAAATATGTGGTGTCCGCGGTGCACTTTGCTCCCGTGACACTTAAAAAGGGTGTCTTGTCACTGTTTTTCACAGGGAGCGAGAAAGGGAGCTCTACGGGCCAAAAAAGAGAGGACCAAAACCCAAGACGTTTCTGCTCAAGGTAAATTTAGCGGTGCTTTTTAATGAATTGCACGCGTACGGCCAATAACGCGACGGTGTGATGAACGTTGAATTCACATGTTTTCATGTAACAACATTGTATCAAGTGCATTCTGGTTTCTTAACCGTTAAAGCACTTTAAATAAAGCTAATTAAGTTCGGCCTCATTATATTTCCTCTAAATTCTCAAGGCTCAAATTCAAAGTAGCGTGTCGGTGAATGGGCGTGTATTCAGTTTGTGTATTAGCTATTGAGCAGCGGCTGACATTGTGCCGCTAAATGAGTTTTGGAATACATTAACATAACAAAATACCTTAATCTGAACAACCAGTCGTGTTGTTATAAGCTGCCGTTGAAGCGACTTGCTCAACGTCCCTAATCTTTTAGTAAAATCCGTAGGCTATTTAGAACTAGGCCTATATCTGTCATTAAATCCAAATGTTACTGTCCTGTGGGAATAAAATCAGTTGAGTAAAGCATCATAGCCTGATGCAGTCAGAGAGAGGTTTCAGCTTTTCGGGACAACGAAGCATGAAAATTGCTTAATGACCGACAGTTTCTCTTGAACTAAATACCAGAATCTCGTTGACGGGGCTGTTGTTAAAAATGGGGTAGTGGACTGACTAATACATACTGTGGCCTGACAGGCATGGTTAGCTGTTGTAGTTGTTAATGCAGTAGCCTATTAGTATATGATTGCGACTCCACTCACTTAGCACTTTTTTAAAATTGGTTGATATTTGAATGTGTTAGCTGGTGTCAGGCATGGGCAGCAAGACATTTTAACATGTCACAATTGGAAAAGCACAGGTGTAAATAAGATGTCTGAATTCCATATAGCTGCTTCATTTTCAGGGTCCTGGTGTTGTGCACGCTGCCTCACTGTCATGGCTGTAGTACAAATGAAAAGGCCTGTGAGTGAAATGGTGTCATTTATTAGTATAATTTTTATTAATTATTTCCCTCTCATTTTCTTACTATTTAATAGGCTCAGGCTAAAGTTAAAGCCAAGTCCTATGAGTTTAGGAGTGAGGCAGTCCGAGGGATGCACATCACCTACCCAACCCCAGAGCCGGTTGTCACCTCCAGGGCCAGAGAGGGCCTGAGAGCTGTTGTTCCCACCATCTTCCCACCAAGTACTGTAAACCGTGGAGAAAGTGTACGTGTCCGACTGCCTGAACTGAACACCCGTGAGCACCACCAGCCTTCCCTTCAGCAAAGCAGCCCAGACGGACTCATTCACATACCCAAAAAAAGAGGCCCGAAGCCTAAGCCCCGCTTCAAGGACAGCAGCTGCAGCCCTGCGGTCTCTGAGCCCCACAAGAGGAAAGTGGAAGAGCAGTTGAGCCACAGCCACAAACTGGCTAAGTTCCAGGGGGGTGAAGAGATGAGGCTGGTCAAAATGGCCCACAGACATCCAGAGAATCACGGTCATAAACACCACCATCACCACCACCACCATCATCACCACGCACACATCAGGGGACTCTCCGGTGGAACCTCCTACAAGCAGCTCTACTCAGACCGCAGCCTGCATCCACACAGAACAGACATGGACATGCACAGGACTAAGGACAGCTCCAGCTACTTGGCACCTCCGCACTTCAAGCACCAGTCCAAAATGAGCCAGAGCCTGAGCCGCCCCGCTGAGCTTCCACAGATGGAAAGGCCTTACTTCTTGGATAGGCCGTCCCCGACCAGGGTCGTCGATGACGACTTGGGTGAAGTGACGTGGAGGCCCTCTCTTGGCAACGTGGAAAAGGTCCTGGTTACAGATGTGACCAGCAACTTCCTGACCGTCACTATCAAGGAGAGCAACACTTCAAAAGGGTTCTTCAAAGACAAAAGATGATTTCTTGACTGATTTCTTCATGCCACGCTTTGTTTTCTCTGACTTGCACCAGAATCACTCTGAAGTTTATACGACATAGTGTGTTCAATAAGCAGTTTTGTATGTACTGTATAAAAGCAAAATACATAATGTGCATACGTGTATATATTAAGTTGGACATCTGTTTAATATGTCAACCAAATTAAATGAAGTCCATTTCACAGCTTGCACTGGTTAAACATGAACGAGTTTCATGTTTCCTTTGCAGCAGCTGGCTACCTTCTGTACAGAGCCTGTGAATATTACTATTTTGCAACTGTAACTAACGAGAATGTATTTTCTTGCTAGCAAATTGTGTGAAGTGAGGCCAGGCCTAGATTTAATATTCAGCCTGTGGCTGGAATATTTAGCTTTAATTGGAACCAATTAGACTGAATATACCCTTTTCAATTCAATAGGGTTAATATTTAAAAATGTACTCAAGCACTTTGAATCCAAAAGTATTAAGAAATCAGTTTGTGTTGTGGTCAAAAACAGAGTCTGTCTCGGAGTTCATAATGTTCTAACATTTCTAATGAGACATAAATAAATTACACAGATGAGTTTTCCCAATGTGTATAACATTTTCCATTAACATAGGCTATATTTTACATTTTCATAGAAATTTTTCATGAAGCTTTAATGTATTAATATAATTACAGAGTTGGTGTCAAATTGCTTTTTAGACGCTTTTCAATAAACCCTTGGACTCTTCTCATTTCGTTGTTCAACTGTCTGTTTTATTGTCAGTTTTTAGTACAGCGCCGTCGGCCTTGACCCATTTAAATCATCTTTGAAGAAAACACTTAAGCCTAAACCATAAATTAAATTATGAATTTCATCAGGACCTGTTACGGAATTAGGCCTTCAGGCCACCATCTAAATCGTTAGGGTTATTTCCCTGTTTTGTTTGCTATGTATGTTTTTAAAGGCCGTGATCTCCATTACAGGTCATTACATGAATGAAAAAATGCGTTAATTTTTACAGTAGAAGCTGGAGGCCTCAGCCCCGGGCGAAAATATAGGCTAACCTAATTTAGCCAGCAGGCTGCAGCAGGCCTACATTCATTTCTGCTCAAAAGTAGGCAAGCCCACAGACTCACTGTAAATATTTAATTTGAATGCGTCCTGGTATGACCGCAAGTCTGCTTTGTGAAGGCCATTTAGAATTCAGTCATTTTAATAAATGACAGAAAGAAAATAGGCCTACGGATATTAATTCTCATGGGCCCCAAATGTTATCCCTATTTCGTTTTATTTAATTATTTTCATAACAAGCGGCATTTTTATTTATTCATAATGTTTTTTCAATGGGGACAATAGCCTATATAGCATGAGTAAAGCCACATACCAGGGCACGTTGCCAACAGACTACGCTAGTTTGCAGATGGACTCGATGGGCTTTTAAAATACAGGGCCTACTTCACTACATTTTTCAAGGTAGGTTAAACGGGGATTTTTTTTCTTTAATTAATAAGCCCATTTCTCCTGAGTGTACAGCCTGATTGACCTCCTTCTTACCGCAACACTGCCCTATTTTTCCCTGACACATTAGGTCCAGCTGTGTGCGTCTGATTCGCTTTAAAGCCGAGCCATCTAGCCTATATTACCGTACCTTACATGCACGGATCTGTTTTGTGTAGAACTTCAAAATGTAATTCCCGAAAAAAAAATGGTTGCTGTGCTTGAACCCTTCAGATTACACACCTGACCCTGGTCTCTACTAAAAGCTAATTGACAAGGGCTTAACTACAACGTCACTATATCCAAATGTTAGCTCCTCATTCAGATTTGAAGAATTGAAAAATATTCTTAAATCCCTTCTGTCACCAGTTAAAACCAGGATCCATAAGGACTACACCAGTGGAGTGAAACGTCTGCAGCCTTAAGCCTTACCACTGCTCCTCCTATTATATAGGCTAATAATAATAAATACACAACCATTGTTACCCAGCATGCATTTGGATTTATTTTTGAGTGTATTTACTATTAATTTATTTCACTCTGTGATTATACATGATACACAATTAGGAAAATATGCAGAAACTATTGCTAGTAACAGTAAACTACACAGCTGTAATACAGTAGGATTATATGAATGACCATTTATTCAGCAGTCTTCACATGGTCATATTTCAGGAGAGAGAGAGAGATGGGTAGTGGGGGGGTCTTTCCATCTCTTTACTTTTCAAGAGTTTTCATTGTTTGCCGTTGTCAAATCCATTTTGTCACATCTGGCCTTGTACTGTGGAGAACAAAGTAAAGAACAGTTTAAAGTCCAGTCGTTTTGGATAAAAGCATTGGCTAAATGAGTAGGAATATAAAATATAAATGTAAAAGGATCATTATCTGTAAATCTTGCATTCTACCATATTAAACACTAACACATTTCAGCATCATTCAGAACTGGTGGAGATAGACAAGATAAAACATGGCCTGATGAGACCAAATCTATAAATGTTTATCAGGAGCTTATTTGAAAATATAGAGTTATTATACATGGTCTTAAATGTATTTATACTGTACAATAAAGCATGGCTGTGTAATATTCCCAAACCTAATATTCAAGTTTTGAAACAACCCCTAAGGAATCACTTTGTTTTATATATATATATTTCACTATAAACAGAAGGCTTAATATTTTTAATAGGCCTACATGTGTTGTTTTTTTTTTTTTTTGTGACATTCAAATCTTAACTGAGCAGATGTGGCTCGATTCAGAACTACCCCAAAGTTTTGAATTAACTTAACTGTACTTCTGTGGACGTCTGTTAACAACAAAATACTGTTGGTTTTCAACCATTTTGAGATCGAAATGATTTAAACAAGATAACTGACAGTGTTAAAAATATTACATGATATAAACCTCACACGGAAACTGTTTCTGAGGTTTCCTGCTGTGCCAAACAGTCATGATATAATCACCGAAAAACAGGAAGAGATACAGCACAACAGCAATGACAAACTCTCAAAAGAGAAAAAGAGCTAACATCATCAGATAAATTATATTAATTTGAAAGTCTGCCAGTAAAAGTTATTAAAGTTCAATTTAATGGATGATTATGTTGCACAGTGTGAATTTGGGGTTTGAAGTGAAAGTGGAAAGTTGTGGTGACCTCTATCATCACCATCATCAGACGGGGTATCCATAGTTCCTGTCGCAGCGAGGGTAGCAGTGGGGGTTCAGCCAGTGCTCCAGGTTGGTCTCCTGGGCCCTCTGATCCAGAGCCTGCATGTGGAGCAGATGCTCCTGGGAGGGAGGCAGGTAGTAATAAGATGAATAATGTGGAGGTACTGACAGATGAAAATAAATTGAAAGAAAAAAGCAAGAAAGCTGATGGTGAAGACCTGGTTTGCTGAACAAATTTGTACAAATGAAATGACTGTTGAAGAGAGGAATGACTGAGCCACAGTAATGACTCAGAACTATTTATTCCTCTGCATTGAATCGTTTTTGTAAGACGCCACAATAGCAAAGTGAAATTACAAAGATGAGTAGAGCTAAACAGAGGGGAAACATGCTTGGATTTGTACAATGAAGAATGGATGCCTTCAAAGCATTACAGCATGTGGAGAGAGATGACTTTCTGCTGCAGTTTGACTTTCCTCAGGTCACAATACTTGTTAAAGGAAATACATAAGTGCGGTAACAACGGCTACATGTGAATGCATAAAGACAAATTAAATACGCTGGCTTCTTCTATTAATTTGACGTTCAGGGTGGATATTTTCTAAAGCAAGTCAACCAGGATCAATTGTAAAATAGGAAGTAATGTCCAGATGACGCCATTAAGCGTTAATGTAAAAACTACAATATGTAAAAAAACCCAAAACAACTAAATGTTCTCAGCTGAAATTCCCCCGTATTCCACAACATGGTATATGTTACACATAAAATTGATTTCACATTATAAATAATGTTAAGGGTTACATATCATCAAACTTTTCTGCACAAGATCTCTGACAATTTAGCTTTTGGTTAGATATTCACTGATTTTTTTTTTTTGTTTGTTTTTTTATTATGTTTTTCTGGAGTTTTGTTTTGTCATATTGCTTGTTTGTTGGCTTAATGTTGATTTATTTTCATTTTGCATGTCATCTGCAACGTACACTTAAAAACTTACTAACCAAGTTTTAAAGAATGCTTAAAGCAAATTGTGTCTTCATGAATTAAAATAACACCTGCATGTGTGTAAACACTTAATAAATGCTTTATAACACACTGTATGAATGTTTGTGTGTATTGTTACCAAGCGTTCATCAACTGTTAACACTTCAGTAACGGATGCTTCATATGAGAAAACATTTTTTACAAAAACATTAACAAACATTTTAAATGTCTTTATAATTGCTAACAGCTACATTACTGTGTGCTTAAAAATGCTTAATAGGTTCAAATAAAGTGTTACCAACAAAGATATAGATCTCGGTATGATCAATAGTTGATAGGCAAGTCAATCTCCACCTTGTATAATCTGTGCCCTTTGCTCTGATTGAACCTACCCTCATCGGCTCATCAGGGTGGCCGGGCTTCATTGGCCGCTCCTGCCTCTTGCTGCGGAGCAGCTGCTTAGCGAAACTCTCTTTGATGATAGGGTTGGCATCTGAGGGAGGGAAAGAAATAGTTTGACAGCGAAGAGATCAAAATGTTTATTAACATGTCTCCTGATAAACACATCCAGTTCTTCTTCTGGTACCAGGAAGGAAGATTTTCAATTCAATAAAGTTGATATATTGATGGTGATTTTCTTTTAGACTTGATGTGGGCGTGCATGTTAGCAGTTTCCCTACTTTTGCTTCCTCTACAAGAGACTCAGGAGCTAAGACTGTTTGCTCTCATTTTAACCTCTGCCTGAGTTATTTTGTTATTTGAGTCAGCATAACAACTGTTTGCTTGCTTGCTGGGTATTGGCTAATCAGGATAACATTCCTCTCACTGAACGCTGTGTTCAGACCCATGAATAAACCTCTCACCACTATCTGCTGCTGGTGAGCTGTGACTGACCTGATCTGTTTAGTTAGTCCATGTGAGGTTGTTTATTCCCAAACGCAAGCCCCATGGGAGCTGCTCACACACACACACACACACACACACACACACACACACACACACACACACACACACACACACACATGCAGGCCTCTGCAGAGCGAGGGCTCTCTGTCTCCCTCTCTCTAACCCAGGCCTGTATTGGGAGGGTATTTGGAGGAAGGTAACAAAGTGCCCATTCATCCTCCTCACTCCCCAGGGAGTCGGGCCCATGCAGCACGTGACCCCAGCAGGCAGGGTTAGGCTCTCTCTTCCTCTCCTGCCAGATGGAGGTGCTGTGAATGAACCCAGCTCTGTCAACACTGCTGCTGCTGCTGCTGCTGCTGCCTGGGCCCTCACAGCAACGTGGCAAAACACTGACACACATTCTCCAGATATTTCAGAAAGACAGATTTCTGATTTTTAGAAAAAAACGAGCAATTGTGCAATGTCATTTTTGTGCTCAGAGCAAAAATGCATGCCAAAATTAAATCGATTGTACACAGAAATGCAGGGGCTGTAAAATGTAATAATAGTGCAAAGAAGAGCTGTAAGACGCCACTGAAATAATGATTAAACACAAATTCCATTTCTTGATTATGTATCTAAACATAGTCAAGAAACAAAAGAAATATGCACTAAATTCATGCAAAACTATCCTAAATCCACAGACACACTCACTTTTGTAAATTCTGCTCTCCTCAGGTGAATCCGTAAGAGTTTCCTACCTGTGTAGATGGTCAGCAGGACCAGGCAGAGCAAAATCACCACCAGCTTCATCTTCTTCACCTTTTCTCTGCCTGAGCCGTCTTTGCTCTGGGGTCCCAACCAGTGTCCACAAGGGGTGGGGGTTTCTCCTCCTCCTCCTCATTTTTCAGCACGTCAATCACAAATTGTCAAATACCTGCTTATGTTACTGAGGAGATATTGGACATAAATCACAATTAGTGATGATACATTTATTTATGTTAAAATATAATCTATATCTCCTCTTATTTACTCGTTTAAAATTGCAAATTACGTGGAGGAACATTTGAAAGCACCTACTGTATGAGGTCTGTTGAGGCAAGTTGAAGGCTGTCCACTAGATGGCGATGCAAAGTCATTTAGAGATAGCGGATTGGGTTTACTTCCACTTGAAGAGCTATATTATTTTCTGAAGCACTTGCTGCATTTGTTATAAAGCACGTTGAACTGCATTTCTTCTATGAAAAGTGCTATACAAATAAAGATGATGATGATTATTATGAATAGTAGTAGTAGTAATAAACAAACCAACACAAATTAAGTATTATTTCTGCAATTTACTGGCTGCACTGGAATTCTTGGACACAACAGGCCATATAGGCTAGATATATTGCACAGAGAGCGGGATGGAGGTGTCAGTGGCCCAATGGCAAATGTTTGTCACTGGCCGCCATGGCCATGGTCATGGTTCCTGTTTATGACGTAACAAGTTCCTATGCATTTTTCACTGCTGTTGCAACGTCCTCATGTTAATATCAACACATTTATTTTAATTTGAAATTATATTTTTGTATTTGTTTCTGTGTTTCATCATTTACCTATCTAAGTAACACCACACACTGTATGTATGTATGTGCATGTATGTATGTATGTATATGTATGTATGTTTTATTTATTTCAATAAGGATTGGAGGGATGTCATAGTGCGTCATTGTTTCCGCTTCCGCTTCTTGCTGTCGCATGACTGTGGAATGTGTATACAGTACCGCCTGCATTTGAATGATAAAGTTTCATAAATTCCTGGGGCATGGAAAGCTTCTGATCCCTCAATATGATTATCTAACACGCTATTAGCTAACGATGCTGCGCAGAGCGCATGCGTGCTGTGGGTCGGCAGTATGAGCGTCAGGAGCTCAGAATCAGAGATGATAGAGAAAGTGAGATGAGCTGAGGTGATCTGATTTTCCGTGTTCGCTTAAATGTTTCAGATGTCTGTAAATTGTTAGTAGCCTAGTTCCACCAAGGAACCCTCTAAACTTCTCAGATATTTTAATTTAAATAATTGTTCGAGGCTCAAAGAGGTCAAATTATACAAGATTTTACAAAAAACAAACATTTGGGATAAGTGCAAAAAATGAAATGGATTTGTGTAGGTTTATCTTGTGACCCTTTGGAAGGGCTCAACCAGTTGGGAACCACTGGACTAAACTACCAAACTGGTGCTTACACATCGATGCACCAGTAGCCTATTAGTAGTAACATCTAATAATGTCATATGTTATGTCATTCACAGGGCCATTTTTCTGCAAAATAAAAACTTTTGTTGTGTTACTTAAGTAGGGGTTAGATTTTCTAGTATTTTCACATCGTTGTATTGGTGCTTTTACTTGTAGTAAAATGTCTAAATACGTCTTCCACCACTAACAGGGGTAATTCGGCCCTACTTCAATATCTTTATTTGGTAACATTTTTAAAACAGGGCTTTCACTTGTAGGCTATGTGGGACAGTGGGACATTTTTATTATGTGGTGTCAGTCATCTTTAAGTGAAACGAATTTACTCTAATAATAGGGCTCAAACGTGCATGTGTGTTTTCCGTGTTGGTGAACTGAGTTATCTTGACATGTAAGCACTCTCTGATGAAGCTAAGGTAGCGAGGTAGCTCATTGGTCCAACGTCACACCACTGTCTTCTTGTTTATAGCTGCTTACACAGGAAATGTTTCTATCTAAGCTCAAATTTGTGTCCGTGAACATGAGTGGCGCAGAGAAAACGTGGCGTGGGTCCTCTCTCCAGTTTCTGTTGTTTACATAGATCTTCTCTTCACTTATTTCCGCTCATTAGAATCATCCATCGCTCGCGCTACCGACCAGCAGCGATGTACAAGGAGGGGGGCGAGGCGCATGACGACTGCGGCTCCCGGGAGGAGTGGACGCTCCTGTTCTGGACCTCTCTGGCCGTCATCGTCCCGGTCATCATCACGCTGTGGTGCAGCGCCCAGCGCTCCAAGCGGAAAACGCACATGAAGGATTTCTTCCGCAAGAGCAAGCACGGCTGGCACTACACAGACCTGTTCAACAAGCCCACCTACTGCTGCGTCTGCTCCCAGCACATCCTCCAAGGGGCTTTCTGCGACTGCTGCGGCGTGTGCGCCGACGAGCAGTGCCTGCGCCGGGCCGACCGGAGCCTGTCGTGCAAGGAGATCATGGCCCCCTCTACCCCCGAAGGAGCCATGGAGCACCGCTGGGTCCGCGGAAATGTACCCCTCGCCAGCTACTGTGCAGTGTGCAAACAGCAGTGTGGGACCCAGCCGAAGCTCTGCGACTTCAGGTAGCGTAGGTGGTGCTACAGGTGCAGCCGCATGTGTATGAGACCCACTTTTTTTTTTTTTTTTTACTGCAAAGCTGCAGCTGCCTTTGTGCGTAAAAGTGGGGTGGGGGTTGCTCTTTTTGCACCCATGAAAGGCTCCAATGCAGTCTGACAAATAGATGGTTACCTACACATTAACATAGCCTAACTACATGGGCCTACCTGTAAAATGTTATTAAAGATATTAAATTCTGAAATACTATTAAAGATATTAATCATATTAAAGAAAAAGTGTCATGAAAAGCTATTGCTCTGAACCATTTATAGTTGTCATCATAATGGGGGTGCATTTTAATCTGTCTTTAATTTGCTCTAATGGACTGATGCTGCTCTCTGGGATAGCAGGGCACAAGCTCTGTAATCTCCTAGTGTCAGATAAATGACTCTGCAAATCCTAATGACAGCGTCACAGACAGAGGAGTAAAGACTGTGTGTATTCTTACTTTTCTAATAGGTCTGTGTCCCTCCCTCAGGTGTGTGTGGTGTCAGGCCATAGTGCACGATGACTGCATGGACAGCCTGGCAGATGCAGACCAGTGTGACCTGGGCGAGTTCCACAGCCTCATCATCCCTCCTCATTACCTGTACCGTGTCAACAAGCTCCGCCGCAGGCACCCCGATGAGTACAGCAAGGTGCTCAAGATATGACTGAGTTGTTGGGGGGGCCACAAGGGACTCATACTGGAATAGGTTTTATGTGGTGTCCCAACGCTGTTTTAAGCAATGTTGGTGTGTGTGTTGTGTGTGTGTGTGTTTCTGTAGCTGGCCTCTTCCTTTGGCAGTGGCTGGACTCCGGTGTTGGTCTTGGCTAACACACGTAGTGGCAACAACATGGGGGAGGCTCTGCTGGGAGAATTTCGCACCCTTCTGAATCCTGTGCAGGTCCGTCTGGAGCTACTCTGACTTTGTCCCCGTTAGACTAACTGATCCTTTAACACTCCCTTTAGTTGTCAACCCTTTTTTTTTAAAAAGCCAAGAGATGACTAAAATTTTTGCACAAAGCACAACGTAAACCTTTCTTTTCTCTCTTCTTTCCTCCAGGTGTTTGACCTGTCTGAGCTGACGCCCTCCAAAGCCCTCCAGCTGTGCACCCTGCTTCCCCCCGGCAGTGTCCGGGTGCTGGTGTGTGGGGGTGATGGTACAGTGGGCTGGGTGCTGGATGCCATCGATACTATGAAGCTGAAGGTGAGATAGGACTGTTTCTGAGCTATGAGAATTACTTTTGTTACATTTAATAATCTTTTTTTAAGCGAAACAATGTGGCATTATCTCTTTCTTTATCATGTCCATCTGCTTATATTTTATATTTTCCTGTGTCAGGGCCAAGACCAGTTTATGCCAAGGGTGACCATCCTGCCCCTGGGGACAGGAAATGACCTTTCCAACACTTTAGGCTGGGGTGCCGGGTATGCTGGAGAGATTGCTGTGGAACAGGTTCTCCGTAACATCCTTGATGCAGAGGTGGTCAAAATGGACAGGTAGGGCAGCAATGCTAGTTTCAGTGTTTGCTTTGGGACCAAGTCTTTAACAGTATGATGCTATTTCATCATCTTATAAATTGTTCTGTTTTATTAATCTTACAAATGGGTTTTTATGCACTGTTCTTCAGTGTAGGAGCTATGGAAGATCTTCTGTCAACAGCTTTCGAGTTTAGCGTGATGAAATTGCTAGTATTCAAATGTCTCATGAATTTGTTTAGACCTATGTGTTCAGTGTCGTAGATAACGTTTAGGAGCCTATGGTCATATTATCCCCATCCCCATCTCCACTGACTAATGGGAAATTCAACATGTTTAAGGTCGACCTTGTCAGTATGTTACAAGCTGGTTCCAGTACTTTCAGACCCAGAGTATTTAGATTTTACTACCTTTAAACCAACAATAAATACTTAAATAAAGGATTCAGTAGTTCTCCACCAGAATTGTATTCATGCCAGTGTGGAGAAGGCTAAAAAAAACATTTAGCCCCAGGGTAATAGAACTTATATATAAATATAATTTGAACTAAACATTTTACCGACCGTTTTTGCTGTTTGGTCATCATTTTCTGAGGGGGAAGCGTTGCATGTGTGTGGTCCTGGACTTGTGATCTCAGTGTTATAACTCCCAGCTATCGCCCTGTTAGTGTTTCTTTTGTTCCTGCTAATTACCTGCATAATCACTTTCAGATGGAAAGTGCAAGTGGCTTCAAAAGGCCTCTACTTTCGTAAACCAAAGGTGAGTTTGAGCCCTACTTTAGAATCATTTTTATCAAGATGCAATCTCACCTTTACTTGCAGATGAGTTGTTATTCAGGCTTTGTGTGTCGGGGTTTGCTCTGACACACATAGCAGTACATCTGCAAAATATACTGCTCGTCCTCCACAGGTTCTGTCCATGAACAACTACTTCTCTGTGGGGCCTGATGCTCTGATGGCGCTCAACTTCCACACACACCGCGAGAAAACACCCTCCTTCTTCTCCAGCCGCATCATCAACAAGGTCAGAGAGTGTGGACCGTTTCATTTGAATACATAAATTATGTGTAAACCGAATTTGAATATTAAAATAAAGGCATTGTCTGTGAATATGCTTGCTGTCTGTTTTCTCATTGTTAGAAACAGCAGAGAAACTGGTTTATATTAATGCTTCTCCTTTTTCCCCCCAGGCTGTTTATTTCCTGTATGGTACCAAAGACTGTTTAGTGCAGGAATGTAAGGATCTGGATAAGAGGATTGAGGTACGGCAGCATTGTTCATGTGATGAAGTTGCATGTTAATTATGTCCCTATGCAGTTCAGAATTAGCCAACGTTTTCACTATTCGTGATATTCTTGGCTGAAAATCATAAAATGTTTTCGGGGCAATAGCTTAGATCTTGCTTAAGTTAAAAAAAAAAAACTACCACAACTTGTCACTTCTATGTTTTTGTTTGCGTACTTGGTGAGCTTTAGAGGTGCTGGAAGTATTTCTGAACTTTGGTGAGAGCCAGGCTAGCCTATTTCTCCTCATTTCCAGTCTTTTTGCTAAGCTAAGCTAGCTACCAAAATGTCAAACTATTCCTTTAATAAATAAAGATAAATTGTAATTGGTGACAGGCTGTTTTAACAATCAAAAATATATTGAATGTTCTGAAATCAAGCTTGTATGTATTGTTTTAGCCTCATAATTCTTATCTGAACTTTAATACATTTGTACTGTTACTAATTTTATTTCCAGTGATATTTACTTTGGAAATGTACCGTTTAGTTTTTATTTTATGTTATCCATCACCTTAAAATGTCCTGCTCATTATACTTTGGTCATTCTTTATTAACCAAACATAAGGGATGGTTGTCTTTGTTATGTGAATGTTTTTTTTTTTTTTAATTCCCAAATCACTACTCTAGCTGATTTTGTCACAAAGTGTCCATTTATATCTAACATTTTGTGACCGAGTTGAAATATTAGGGCAAGTACTATGTGTCATTTCTGTGAGAATATTATGTACCAGGGCAGAGTAGGAAAGAGTGAACCTGATTTAGCCAGTTGCCAATCTGTCAATACTGTGTGTGTGTGTGTGTGTGTTCCTTCCACAGCTGGAGTTGGATGGGGAGAGGGTGGCTCTGCCCAGCCTGGAGGGCATCATAGTTTGTAACATTGGCTACTGGGGTGGAGGCTGCAGACTCTGGGAGGGTATGGGGGACGAACCCTGCCCCCCCACACGGTAAGTCCTGCATTGGCATCGGGAGCGCCGGGTAGAGATAATTATTGCTGTGAGCATCAATTAGTCAGATTTTAGTCATCGGGTGCTCCAGGTTACCATGGCAACTAAAGAGTGAGCAGCAGCGTTGCTTCCTGTCTCTCCCTGCAGGCTGGATGATGGTCTGCTGGAGGTGGTGGGTGTGTTTGGCTCCTTCCACTGTGCTCAGATCCAGGTCAAGCTGGCCAATCCTGTACGGCTGGGACAGGCCCACACTGTCAGGGTGAGGCAGTAACACACACACACTAACACACAAATGCAGTTCTACCACAGCCCTTCCTGTTTACCACAATAAGTGGGTATGGAGAAAGACTTTGAGAATTTCATTTGAACTAATCTGATTAAGCACACGCTAACTGGCTGCTTCATGTGCTCAAATCCTCATTCAGTTCTTTACATGGTAATCTTAACCGTTAATCACTCACTAAAAGCACACAAAAAACAGCGAGTGATGATGACCTACAAATGTTTTTAAACAGTGAAGGTTACCACTGCCCCCTCCATTATTTTCAATGGAAACATAATGGCAGTGGCAAAGAGAGAGAAGATGGCTGCCGCGGGTATTTGCTCTGCCGCCTGAGTGTGACCATGACAACCACAGGATACACAACAAGGAAAATGATGGAGGAACTCATTTAACTGGTGTTTGAATGCCTTACATATTTATGTAGAAGGTGATCAGAAACCTTGCTGCTAACTAAGGGTGTAGGTTTGATGCCACGTGTTGGGCAAAGTCATGGGCTAAAAGAGGAAACAAAATCTGTCAGTCTTGCATTTGTTGGCAATGGCATTTACATGTAATTAACAAATTATACATTATGATGGAATTGGTTGTCAGGTCTTGCATAATAATGTCAGTCAAAATAAATGGAAATGCTGTTTAAATTTCTGTGTTATTAATGACCAGTCACCACTGAAAATTATATTAGACTCATTGAGAGACCTGACAACAATAGATAATAAAACCAAAAATCTTTTCTCAGATCAGGAACACCTGTCCTTCATTCCCTTGGCTTTGATTGTAGTTCGGTTTATGGTGTCTTTAGAGAATTTTATAATCGCACATATAACGTGTAAATCATTACAGTCATAGTAGCCTGAGAGGCGAAACTCAGGGTAGGAAAAGCCCCACGCATTCGCTGCTGCTTGTGAAGTTTATTGCTGAGAGCGATGATAGGTAATATCTGTATTTTTATCACCTCCCACAGCTTTTCTCATCTGCTTTATGCTGGATGGACAGTAAGGCTGGAAACAGATCCCCAGTTCAAAGTCGCAGAGCTATTCGACCATCCGACAAGTACTGCTGAAAAAATATAGTGGCAGCTTTAGAGGACACTGATTTTAGTGAGTCACTCTGTGAAAGGGAACGTGCTGATCATTCCCTCAATGTTAGGACCTTCTGTCGCCAAATTAAAATACACAACAGAAACGTCAGTGAGCACCATTAGTAACAAGATACAGATTTTCCCTGCTCAATATACAGTCTCTCTTATTCAAGTGTCGGGTGTTATCTTTCCCTCTCCAGCTGGTTCTTAAGAGCTCCAAGATGCCCATGCAGGTGGACGGGGAGCCATGGGCCCAGGGTCCCTGCACCATCACCATCACCCATAAGACCCAGGCCCTCATGCTGTACCACAGCAGCGAGCAGACGGACGATGACGATGACGAATCCAGCGCCTCTGAGACAGAGAGCCCCACCCCTCACGACTCGCCCAGGCCTCCGGAGCTGGCCTCCGCTCGTGCATGACCCACTCTGAACATCACGTGATCTGAAGCTCTTCTTATCTCTTCTTTCTGCAGCCCAGATTCTATTAATCCCTCATTTGCATTTGAGATGCCACTTACTCGCCCTCCTCTAAGATATTTGAACACACTTTATCCTCAATCACGTTGATGAGAATAGTTTTAATAGTAATTTTCTTGTGTAATCATTTCAGATCTTCGGAGAGCTGACAGGTGTCAGAAAGGTTAGTTTGGAATTGGGCTGGTGTGATTTAGTTTTTTGGCCTTTTATCTCTCCATTCCCAATATTTTGTAACCCAGAGCTCAGGAAGTTCCACCTCAACATGGGTGGGACAGTCAGGAGGAGGTGAATGTTATGAAGAAAGATTGCGGTTTATTTGCACTGATCCCTTGTGCCATAGATATCTACAGTCGACTATACTGTTTATTAATCTGTATTTACAACTGAATGCCCAGTGCAGCCCTGCAGGTATCAGTCAGCCATTTTTATGAAGTTGCCCAGGTTCGATTGACCTAACCCCCATAAAGCCATGTCTAAATCAACAGCAGGTGATGAAGTAGTAAAAGGGGAAAGAACAGTATAATCACAACAAATATTACAGTACTGTACTTTATTGCCCATTAGTTGTTTTTTTTTATTCCAGAAAGAGCACAAACAAGCAGCTAGTAGACTCTAGTTGGTTGTGTGTGAAATGTTAAACTGTACAGAATATCTGTAAAAGTCCCCTTTCATCACAATGTTGATAGTTTTTAAGTGTCTCCTGAGTGTGTCACCTAAGATAAAGCTTTGAAATGTGTGTGTAGGCCAGAAGGTGTCTGAATCTTGGTGGTTGTCAATCACTGGACATTGATTCATCGTTCACTGTCTCAAGTAGCTCGCTAAACTTTTAGATTGTACTAATGTACAGTCTTGAATTATATTTAACTTTCCTGATAAGCGCTATAGGAAACAACCTCACTTTTTTGTTGTGGTTTATTTTGAAAGTGCTGCCAAGTAAGTGTTGTTCAGAGGAATAATTTTGCCTCGTGTAAAACCTTTTGTTTTTCCTCTTCTTTGCCTACGTCCTCCTGTTTACATATTTTGTGCTGCACTGTTTTGGCACTCACACTTATTAACACCTTACACTGCTTATGACATAGGAAACCGTAATATTGACCTTTGATGTTGCTGCCAATAGTGATAACTGCTGATGAGATTAACTTATCCCATGTTGTGACTTTATGTTATACAAGTAATCCTCTCGTATTTTGTTATTTGTGTTTTACCAAATAGTCACCACAAGGTGGCAGACTAAAGACAGTATTTTCTGCAGACAGGGTAAGCAGAGTTGGTCTTCTACTCAAACCTCCACAGTGTAATATCAATACAATCAGAGTTACTTGCATGTACTTTCCTGTGTAGTGTTCTGGTGACATTGTTCTAACTGTTGAGTTTTATTGTTGCATCGTTCCTGTACTCTGCATAATCTGAGCAAAAGGTCATTTGTGCTTTGTCCGTAAAATAGCCTGCTTGTAGGGATATTAATTGTACCTTTTGAGGTGGTCCTGTTTATTACCTGTCGCTCACAGCCATATCGGAAAATCTAACGTTATAGAATGTTAGTTTGTGCTTTCTTAGGAGCCCGGAGGCAACTTGCTGCTGGTTTGGCTGAACGGGTTTGTTTTTAGCCGCGCAATGCCTATGCTTTTGGAATATGCACCTCCTTTTAACCAGACCTCATGGTTTCATCACCCTCTATTTGTTTGGTGAATGTCTTTGTGCTCAAGGACACCTGTTTGATCTTTTATCTTATCATCCATGTTTACCAGAGTTGTGTGTGTTGTGTTGCACTGAATTTGCTTAGATGTAACAGGGGTTCATTGGCAGCATTTTAGCCACACTAGCAGCACGGCTCCCGTTCAAAACACTGTTTTAGAGTGAAATACCTCGATGACTGTTGATGAATTGTGATGCAGTTTGATACAGATAAAATGAATGGTCCCCAGAGAATGAATCGTAATGATTTTGTTGATTCTGAGTATTTATTTATCTTCACCAGCAGGTATACATTATACTTGTCAAACAGTTGATCATCGTTCCAAAACTACTGACAGAATTTCTCTCAGCCTTAGCTGTAACGTTAGTTTGATACGAATGCTAGATAGCATGCTAACATGCTAGTTTCCAGCTTAAATCGGAGTTGGATCTAAATACAGCTGCACAGTGCAACTTCTTATTCTGAGAAAAGCTGTTTTCAGCAACAAAAAAAAAAACTTTCTGTGAAGATTATGCAACTTTAATAAGGGCAACATTTTTTTCCCGGGCGTGCAATGAAAATTACACATCGCTAGCGTGGCTAAATACTTTTACTTCTTTTAATGTTTGGGTGGAGGAACATGACTGTAATGTTATTGGTTTGAATGCTCCCAATTCAAAAAGCTGTAATTTATTATTATTTGTTAAATGTAGAGCAGTATTTAGAGTGGCTTCAGAAAGTTTTTAGACCACTTCACAGATAGATGTAGATGTAATTTCAAGTGGAATCAGTCTAGATCTATAGTCAATAACCCACTAAGTAAAAACACGTTTTCAAAATTTATTGCATATTTATTGAAAATCAAAACTGAAATCTCTCCATTATGTAAGTATTTGTAATTGGCTTTAGTTTAGGCAGGCGTGCGTGTGTGTGTGTGTGTGTGTGTGTGTGTGTGTGTGTGTGTGTGTGTGTGTGTGTGTGTGTGTGTGTGTGTGTGTGTGTGTGTGTGTGTGTGTGTGTGTGTGTGTGTGTGTGTGTGTGTGTGTGTGTGTGTGTGTGTGTGTGTGTGTGTGTGTGTAAGGTCCCAAAATTCACACTGCATGTCAGGACAAAAGCTAAGCCATGAAGTTCAATTAACTGGCTGGTGATGTATAAATCAGGATATAGGAATAAAACCATTTAAAGGACTCGGAGCATGAGGAAAAAGGGTCCCTGGTCTGATGAGGAAAAAAATTTAACTCTTAGCTAGAACTCTGTACTGTGTCTGACGACCACCAGGCACTGCTCATCAACTGGCTAATATCGTCCCTACGATGAAGCATGGTGGTTTCAACATCATGGTATGGGGGTGCTTCTCAGTGACAGGACACTGGTCAGAATTGAGGGAAGGATGAAATCAGCCTAATACAGAGAGACCCTTGAAGAAATCCTGCTCCAGAGCGCACGCAACTGTAGACTGGGGCGACTGTTCACATTTCAGCATGAAAATGACAATGACTTCAGTGGTTTCAGGACAGGTTTCTGACTAGAGCTCAACAAAATTTTTTTTTAAATCACACTACGTATTTTGACAGATAAAGAAGTCAGAGTTAACAAAAAGTGCAATCAATACAAGATAATTGTAGGGGAAGAAGAAGAAGAAGAAGAGTACAGGAAGTACATGTTAGATGTTAGGAGTTAGAGGTGTTATAAGAGGAAGTGTTCTTGGAAGAGATGAGTTTTCAAGAGCTTTTTGAAGTTAGGAGCGTAGTGGCCGAGAAGGAACGTAAATTTATATTATGGAGTTCAGGTAGATGGTGCAGACCCAGTAGTCAATCTGTATGCAAGCATTAGTGACTTGAATCTGATTCTGGAGGCCACGGGGAGCCAGTGGAGGTCACACAGCAATGGAGTGACATGCGTCCTTTTGGGCTGATTAAAAACCAGACGCACTGCTGCGTTCTGGAGCATTTGTAGCTGTTTCACCACACAAGTTGGAAGACCCGCTAGGAGGGCATTGCAATAGTCAAGGCGAGAGGTAACCATGGCCTGGACCAGAAGCTGGGTGGCGTACTGAGGGAGGTAGGGCCTAATTTTTCAACAACATGGCCTGAAAAGGACAGCTGGTCATCAATCATGTCACCCAAGTTTTTCACCACCCAGGTTGGAGTGATGGTTTAGGAGCCAATATGTAGTTTGATGTTATGGTGGATAGATTGCTTGGCTTCAGTCTTAGAGAGGTTTAGTTGAAGGTGGCAAGCCTTCATCCATGCAGATATGTCCGAGAGACGGTCCGTGTAAGAGAAGCCTTGCGAGCGAATGATCGGCCCCAGTGAGGTGGTGTAGATTGAGAAGAGAAGGGGTCCTAGCACTGAGCCTTGGGGTACCTCTGTGGTACCCCATTGCTGAGAGGGCGGATAGCAGAATCATGTGATTGACTGTGTCAAAGGCAGCTGATAGGTCAAGCAGGATAAGAACCGAGGACTGGGCTGCAGCTTTAGCTGACCTTAGGGCTTCTGTTACAGACAGAAGAGCCGTTTCAGTAGAGTGGGCACTCTTAAAACCAGACTGATATGGATCTAAGAGGTCATTCCGTGAGAGGAATTCTGAGACCTGTTTGAATACTGCCCGTTCAATAGTTTTGGATAAAAATTGTAGAAGAGACACTGGTCGATAGTTCTCAACTTGAGTTGGGTCAAGTGAGGGCTTTTTGAGCAAGGGTGCAACCCGAGCCCTTTTGAAAGTGGTCGGGAAGATTCCTGAAGCCAGAGAAGTATTTATCACATGAGTGTTTGCCACAGTAGGAGATATGGCTTGGAGGAGATTCGTAGGAATCGGGTCCAGTGGGCATGTAATGGTACGGCTACGGGTTCTGATACTTTGTTCTCTGTGAGAGGAGTAAACGCGGAGAGTGCCATTGACCTGGAAGGGCAGAGGAACAGATGAAGTAGGACTGCAACATGTTAGCCTTGGTGTTGAGCCATTTGGCCATTTCTCGAGGGAGATGGAGGGAGACCTGTATAAGGACTGCTACATGATAGGTTTTCCTGTGCCAGGCTCACAGAGCTGACCAGGGCGGGAATAGAATGGTTGATTTTGAGAGATTTAGAGAATTGGCTTGTTATAGCCGCCACTTTGCCTGTGAAGAAGACAGCAAAGGTATCAGCAGAAAGTTTGTGGGTGGTGGAGGTGGATGAGGATTTAGTAGCGTTTTAAAAGTGGAAAATAATTTCCTTGAGTCAGTAGCACTGCTTATTCTGTCATTATACAATTTTGGCAGCACTGATGCTAGTTGAGAAGGACAGGAGCAGTTGGTAGCCCCTAAGGTCAGCAGGGTCTTTTGGGTTTTTTTATATACTGTGATGTTTTTTCTGGGGTCTGTACCAAACAAGCCTGTTCCATTACCTCTGGAGAACATGATTTGTAGGTCATAGTATCTCTGTAAAATTTTTAAAATATTTATCTAAAACAAAAAGTGGTCTAAATACTTTATGAAGCCTCTTTTTATAGACACACTTTGGCAAAGCAAATTTCACTGTGTTGTGTACTATAATGCTTTCATTATTAATTAGTAATTTTTGAATATGTTTACTTTTTTTGTTGTATCAGAGAACCCTAAAGGCTGATCAGAATGTGAAGAAAACATTTCATTTTGACTACATTATGGTCTTAAGAGGAAACCTTATGTTGCCTCTACTAAACGGGAATGAAAATACAAAGAAACTGTCTGGGGGGAAAAGGCTTTTATTGGTTACAATGACAGAGAACAAAAAAAAATAGGCTTTGGTGAAATTTTTACTAGAGGTGACAAAACTGATTCTGATTGAACTTGAATGTATTGAAGCGATCTTTTGAATTTGAAGACCATAAATATTTTTATTTATAAGCCATGTGTCTGTGTTTTAATGAAGTTAAATTATAAATTACTTACATAATGTGAGTGGGAAAAAAACTGCAGCTATGATCCACGTTAATCATTTACCGATGAACTCAGCTGGCTTGTAAATGTTGTGTTCATTTCCAAGCAACTGCTCAGTTAATCATTGATACATAAATGTCATCATGTAAAAACACACACACACACACACACACACACATACATACATACATACATACATACATACACACATATATATATATATATATATATATATATATATATATATATATATATATATATATATATATATATATATATATATATATATATATGTGACTACTGTAAAGTAATGGTGAAGACTGGCTTTGTGGATACTGTTTATTGAAGCCCTTGTAAAGCAATGAAGTAGTGCCATTCCCTATCATGTGATTCACATCTTACAGTGGCTCACTGTATGACAACAGCAGAAGCAAATACATCTGCTGCTGCATCTAGTTATTTTTATTGGGATGTGGATGGTGCGTTTTTGATTTCTCTGATGAAGGATGGCTTCTGGGGTTGTCTTTCTTGGTGAAATCAGATCCTCTCCCACTTGGCTTATTTCCTCCCTGACCACTGGGGGTTTTTTTGTCTTGCTCTGAAGGGAAATATACAAAAAGGTTTCTTTAGAAGTTCGCCCACAGTGTGAGGGTTTTGCCACTATCAAACTGATCTGAAATTCTCATGCTCAAATTGAATTCGATCTGAAGTACAACAACATGAACACCTGCAATTGTAGTAATAATATCTATGCTTTCTGAAGTTCCTCTTAAAGCAAAATTACAAATGCAACATCCCAAAAGCCTTCAGAGTTTACTGACATCTTTGCATGCAGGTAATTCAAGTTTTGCATGTCTATGAGAAGGGCTGTTGTTTTTACTGCTTACTCTACTGACCTCTACTCAACCTCTTAATCTGTGGAAGTCAGAACATGTCATGCCAGTAAAACAACCACACCTCAAACCAGCCCTGTCCACATACCTGGAGCAAAAGCTCTGGTACAAACCTATGGATTCATTTTCACAAAATGTTGAAAACCGTTCAGAACACAAATTTAAATGGCCAGTGGCACAACATTTTTCATAACCTAACAAGTAAAAATTCAGAGAAGCCCAATATTCTACCTTCTCAGCATAAAATGATACACAGTCAGCGACTAGCTTTTGGACATGGTGGAGCTATGGTGAAGTGTACAAAAATCAGTTACAGCATAATTAATTAGTAAAAGAAAAGCAAAAAAATAAAGCTAAGCCCATCTGTCAAACAAACCAAATCCTAATTTTATGCTAAATATGTATTTGGTCGTCCTCACCGGTAGTATTAGCCTATAAGGGGAAAGACTACAGCTTGGGAGTTGTTTTATATTTGAATGAGAGAGGAGGAGTGAAATATTTTAGTGACCAAATAAGTTGTGGGAAATAAATTAAATTTAATTTGGTGATAAACTTGCAACAGTGACGAACACCCGAGGAGGAGCAGCTGTTAAAATCATGCATGGGTTCGGCATGTGCAGGCATTTTTTTTATACAGTTTATAGTGCAGGCACATAAGGAAAAAAAGGCGTGCATTGTCACATCATACAGTGACTGACGATTGTCACAGCCACACACATGCCATCTGTTGCTGTGGAAGTTCTTCAACTTGAGAGAAGAAGACACAATGCTCAGAATTTGTAATACCTATAAGGCCAAAATACGCCGTGTTTCCCACTCACAGACCGCCCAGGTGTGTTGCATTACAACTTACCTTCTAAGAATAACATACTGATCTTAGTGTTTACTGGGCCACCACCCTCTTGGTAAATGCTGATACCTGATGGCATTAGAAAAACATCCACGCCCAATTCAAACAATTATGAAAGTATGTCAAAATGAGACAAGTCCTGCCAGTGGCTTGTGGACTATAGTGATTCCACAGATAATGGTATGCAGCATGTTAAAATGTGACCTTTGCAGATGCAAAGTAACAAGTAAAAACAAGTACAAATGTGTAAAGCAGCCTCTCGTACCTGTCACACTCTGTCACCATGATAGAAAACAAAAGACTGCTGGTGACTGAACTCAGATGTGAGTGTAAAGCTGTCTTCACACCAAAGAAGTCCTCTCATTCCTTTCCACAGAATAGTCTAGCACTGCATGACCCATGTGTGCAAAGACGTTAATCGCCATGCAGCACACAAATCACACAAATGGACCAAGTAGCGAAACTCTCTACTGTATGGTTCTTTGTACTGAAAATTGTCCGAATCATTACAAAAATACTAGTACCTTTGTTTTTGAGAGTGTGGCTTTTCTTGCGTGCTTCTCCATCCTTTTTCGGGGTCGCTTCATGAACCGGCTTGCAGATGGTTTTCTTCTTTTTTTCCTGATTAGGTTTTCTCAACACTTTTTGTGGGTCTGAATTTGGAGAATTCTGTAAGTTTGGCTAAGGTAGCTATTATATTTTTATTGTGAATTGTGTGTTGGTTGGCTGGTGGATTGGCTTTTCAATCAATTCATGCTTATCTTCTTGGAAGAGTGATTGGATACATGCAAAATTAAATTAATGTGCAGAATTTGTATGTGATTATAGCATCCTCAAAATTATTCTGATGACGCAAGTGTTAGTAAAAGAGTGATACAATTCGTGTTTGGTTAGTCTTTTAGAATCATACTGTCGTAATCCATATAACAATATTGTGTGTATGACTGTACGTTTATGTTTTACTTACTTTTCCATTGTCCTGCCATAAATGGAAAGCGTGGTGACTGGTGACCCTGTGCATACTGGGATGGATTCCATCTTCCATGTGATCCCATATAAACAGGTACAGGAACTGGTTGGAAATATGGCTGGATGGGTGGACGACCTGGACTGTGGGACCTGGGCTGTCCTTCCTGCTTTTGGGGCTCTGGTTGTTCTGAAGCAGAAAATGTGAAATGAGAAGAAATTTTCTAGACTACATAAGTGTTTTATTAAGTGGTGTGTTATATAATGCTCGTCAAATTGTATATAAATATAAGTGCTTGACTGAAATGTATCAGTATCTTTCTCTCACTTCATAGCTACACAATGTGCAGATATGTGTGTGAATTTTATCATGACCAGATATTTTATTACAGGTACATACAATATATCACAAGAGTACACCCCTCCCATTTGTGTAAATATTTGATTCTATCTTTTCATATGACAACACTGAAGAAATGACACTTTGCTACAATGTAAAGTAGTGAGTGTTCAGCTTGTATAACAGTGTAAATTTGCTGTCCCTTCAAAATAACACATCACACAGTCATGTCTAAACCGCTGGCAACAAAAGTGAGCACACTTTGGTGTGAATGGAGAGCAGGTGTGTTAAATTTGGTGTTATCGCTCTCACACTCCCTCATACTGGTCACTGAAAGTTCAACATGGCACCTCATGGCAAAGAAAAAAAGAATGGTTGCTCTACATAAAGATGGCGGAGGCCATAAGAAGACTGTCAAGACCCTGAAAGTGAGCTGCAACACGGTGGCCAAGACCATACAGCGGTTCTCGTCATGGTCGACCAAAGAAGTTGAGAGCACGTGCTCAGGGTAAAATCCAGAGGTTGTCTTTGGGAAACAGACGTATGAGTGCTGCCAGCATTGCTGCAGAGGTTGAAGGGTTGGGTGGTCAGCCTGTCAGTGCTCAGACCATACGCCGCACGCTGCATCAAATTGGTTGTCCCAGAAGGAAGCCTCTTCTAAAGACGATGCACAAGAAAGCCCGCAAACAGTTTGGAACAAATGGTACTATGAGTCTACTTGCTTAATTATCAAAGAATGCGTGAAATACTGACATACTGACAGCTTGAACAAAGTTAAACAATAAAGAATATTTCTAACAATAACAAGTAAAACAGATGTAAAACAGAATAAGGGGAGCGTGTTGCTCTACAGAGGAGGCGCATCCTGGCACCGGCTCAATGTACATGATGCAGAGTCTCTATCCACAACCTGGAGGAGGAACTGTACATGAGAATATTATATAAAGTATAATATTTAGTTTATAGTTTACTGTTAGTATAACAATAATATATTAAATACTACATTCATTAGAATTTCATATAAAAGCATACTTTTTTTTACCACTTGTTGAGTATGAAAACCAGTTATAGCTGTTTCACTTTTGTGGGTTGTTTTTTAAAATGTAATCCTTGTGCAAGCAAAAGGCTCAGCATTAGTCTCTAATTTATTAATACTAAGAACTAACTAATTAATAATCATATTGTTCAACATTTAATGATTTGCTATAGCACGTCAAACTTTATTAATGTCCCGCCGCATTCAGGTTGTGATTGGTCGGTTGACGAAAAGTGACTGACAAGCACGTTGGCTCTGTGAAAAGTTGAACATGTTGAACAACAAAAGGAACCGATACAGCTAACGTTAAATGGCTAGCGAGCTAAACCCAAACCTTCCTTATCTTCTCCCTGTTTTCTTCTGTCTTACTGCTTCAGCTGCAGCAGACGTCTCTCTGTCTCTGTCACAGAGCGACAAGAGCACCGGCATTTCTCTTGCTCTGGTGGCCAGTCTGACTCTGTTTTGAACGATTAGCCACATAACAGGAAGTGGGGTTACGGTAGGTTGTTATCTGCACACTGCTCATAATCATTTTTCTGCACGTAGGCTTATCTGGTTTTTTTTAGAGGCACAATCAAGAGCCTGGTGTGGACTGAGATAATAAGCAGACCGCAGCGCACACACAGAAGAAAGTGTCTCGCACACTTCTTGTAATTTATTAAATTGCACACTGTTTTGCGGTTATGTAATCGCACATGACGACATCGCGATTGCGATTAGATTAATTGTGCAGCCCTAATAACAACCCCAAACACACCTCCAAGACGACCACTGCCTTGCTAAAGAAGCTGAGGGTAAAGGTGATGGACTGGCCAAGCATGTCTCCAGACCTAAACCCTATTGAGCCTCTGTGGGGCGTCCTCAAACAGAAGGTGGAGGAACACAAGGTCTCTAACATCCACCAGCTCTGTGATGTCATCATGGAGGAGTGGATGAGGACTCCAGTGGCAACCTGTGAAGCTCTGGTGAACTCCATGCCCAAGAGAGTTAAGGCAGTGCTGGAAAATAATGGTGGCCACAAAACATATTGAGACTTTGGGCCCAATTTGGACATTTTCACTTAGGGGTGTATTTACTTTAGTTGCCAGCGATTTAGACAATAATGGCTGTATGATGTTTTGAGGGGACAGCAAATTTATACAAGCTGTACACTCACTACTTTACATTGTAGCAAAGTGTCATTGCTTTAGTTTTGTCATATGTAAAAGATATAATCAAATATTTACAAAAATGTGAGGAGTGTACCCACGTTTGAGATACTGTGTACTACTGTGTTGAGATTTTTTTCTACAATACTACCTTCACAGAGATACACATACCAGATTTCGGCTGATATCCAGTATTTCCAGTATGTTCAGGTCCCAGGGCAGGAGCTGCTTTTTCATCTGTGAATGGCAAATGGACTGCATTGATCCTTGCATTGCTCTTTACAATTGGCCTCTCATTCACCCATTCTCACACACAGTGTTAAGTTCTACGACAAAAGTGGACATGTTTGGCTTCACTATTATTATTTCATAAGAAATCTCCAAATGGAAAACTCTCCACTAAATGTACCTGCACATTCACCTGGTTTAAGCATCAGCAGTCTGGCCTCAACAGGCTGTTTAAGGATCTCTGTCAGATACTCCTTCAGGGCAGCAGCAAAGCCCTGTGTTGCTGTCACCTTCTTGGAGTCCAGGCTGATTCGAGGGGTGTGAGGGTCAAAGTTTACAGCCTTAGGCAAGTTAATTGAAGACTATGAGGAACAAGGGAAAGAAAATGAATGAATGAAAATTAACTCATTAGCATGCATTGCTCTCTTTTGTTCATAATACCAGTCTGGGGTGCCAAAGTCAGGATTATTATTTTAATTATTGATTAATTTACTAATTATTTTCTGAAATATGAATTTGTCAAAAAAATGTCAGAAAACAGTGAAATGTTCCTGTTATTACAGCCTGAGCTGATGCATTGTCTGATGCTTGTCTTATTTGGCCAACAGTCCAAAACCCCAAAATATTTAATATGCATCTTATATCACAGTAGAAAAATCCTCAAATTTGAGAAGCAGGAACCAGCAGATGTTTGGCGTGTTTGCTTAAAAAAATTAATAAAATGATTTAGCAATTATTAAAAAAGGTGGTTGGTTTTATGTAGACAAATCGCTGCACATCTAGTTAAGATTCTACATATTTACTTTAACTTAAACTGTGGTGGCTGAACATAGCATGCACCCAAAAAGCATAAGAATATTCCAAGTGTATATAATATTTAGATCTCTTTCCTTATTTTAAGTGTGATCTCTCTCTGATCTCACCTGCAGAAAGGCCAAGGTTTGGGATCGACTCAGCAGACTGTTTATATCTTCTCTGGCTTTTCTCATCTTTTCAGAATTCTCAGTGAACCTCTTCATGAGGTGCTGCAGTTTCGTCTGGTTAATCTCCAGCTCGCGGTCCACCTCATGTTGGGCCTCGTGTTCTTCTTGGGCCAACATATCCCGCATCTGCTGATACACAGCTGTCAATGCGGTCTTCCTTTTGGTTGCTGCGTCCTAGGCAAGGACCATGAGAGGAGCCATAGATAAATACGCCACCATATATAGGAAGGAATCACTAATAAAGTAAAGTCGGAAGAAATTACCGTCAGCTTGCTCTCTGTGTCATTCATTTGGAACATAACAGTCTCGGTCTTCTCAATCCTCCTGTCCAGCAAACCCAACTTGTCTCTGAGGTCGTACTAAAAGGCAATATGGTAACAGAGCTTCAGTAGACAGAGAATGATCTGTTTTGTAGAGACTGTGCTCACCACAGTTTCAATGCAAGGCCATACAGCCTAATGCAAACAATGCGTTAATATTGCACACCATGGGCCCGATTTACTAACATCCTGAATAAAGAGTACTAAATTGCGTGTGCATTCTAAATTGTAGTACCTGTTATGAGTGATCAACTAAGAATGTGGCGTAGATGACAACAGGAGCAAACACAATGGAGGTGGCAGTATTTAGGGTTTTGCATGTTTTAATGGTTTCCGCCATGGAGAGTCAGGAGGGAAAGCAGCCACTGCGTAAAAACCTTGGTTTGTTTCATTCAGTGCGTCCCGAGTATGTGGAAATCGTACCTGCCCATCCTGCCTGAGACTGCACTAAGTACTTGGGACAGCACACCTGAAAAACTGCTTTGGGAAACCTCAGCAGAAACAGCTACAGTATGCTGGAATGACCCAGATGCGAGGAAATGCCAGCAGATCGTGCTTCATCCAGCCAGAGGGAACAATCACCGACCGTCCGCACCGTGCCCGGTGGCTCAGCGATCTCCTGTCCCTGGCCCTGTACGCCCCATCCCCTCTCTGATACCTACAATGGGTTGTGTCGCTATTACGACCGGCGCGCTGTGAGCAGTTGGTGATCGTTCCCTCTGGCTGGATTAATTTTACGCATGATCCGTGCACTACTGCAGCTGGCGGCTCTCCGCAGCGCCACGCAACTATCTAAATTCTTCCATCTCACAGAGAAAAGAAGTCTGGTCAAAACCAAATTTGCTTTATTGGCATGAATGTTAATACCACAGTATTGCCAAAGCTAAAGGAAAATACTAAAAATAAAATCAATTTATATAGTTAATCGATTAAATAAAATAAAATAATTATAATTATAGGCTATATATTGGATATGGAATAATATTTTCTAATAATGTTAATTTCTCTACGTTTTCTTTCATTACGGCTGTGTCTCCTTCTGGCAGCAACAACAGCAGCCATCTCTGCGCAACACTTGGCGGTTTGAACCTTCCTTTCAAACGTATTAAATACAGATGCACAAGTGTCACCTTCCTACCATTCAAATATGGCTATTTATGCATTTATAACAGTGTAGTCTTGAATGACTTATTGTATTGTCCATTAATGTTGCATTATTAGTTATTAATTTCCTTCATAGCTGGATGAATTATGTTTGGCAGAAAAGCAGTAGCCTACCTCTCAGCAAATAAATAAATGTAGGCTACTCCTCAAAATTTCAAATTATTCATTTCAGAACAATAAGGCCAGTGTGATATCTGGACTGTAATGAGACGGGTGACATGTGGATAATGACAAACGTACACAAACACACACTGACACACACCTCTTTCATGTTCCTCTGCTCCTCATGGGACATGAAGGGGCAGCCTTTGTGGACTTGTTGGAGGCAGAGGCTGCAGATTGGTCGGCCATGTTGGGTGCAGAAGAACTCCATCATCTTGTGATGGACAGTGCAGATACGCTCCAACAGGTCGCCGACAGGCTCACTCAGCTGGTGGAGACTAAAGTTTGGGTTTTCCCGGTGAGGGCGCAGGTGCTCCTCACAGAAAGAGGCCATGCAGGTAAGGCAGGTCTGCGATGCTTCTGCTTCCATGCAGGCATCACAGCGTATGACTTCCTCTTTCTTGGCCTTGCTCTCCTCTTCGGCCGGGCTGGCCTCGCTCTTGGTCGACCTCAAGTTGAAGGTCTGCACCACGGTGCTGAGGACCGTGTTCTTCTTCAGCTCGGGTTTGGTAGCGAAGTGGGTCCGACACTGAGGGCAGCTGTAGGACTCCTTCCAGGTGGCGAGGAGGCAGTCCTGGCAGAAGTTGTGTCCGCAGGGGATGGTCACCGGACAGTCAAAGGTACTCAGACAGATGCTGCAGGTCAGCTCATCCTCCAGACTCAACAGAGAAAACTGACTCTCGTCCACTTCGGCCATGATGTGACTTCAGGTGAGGCTGCGAGGGAGAAACGAAACTTAACTTCTTTCGTATCTAACTTAATATGTCTGGAATTACAAGTAAACAATATTTTTCATGCAGCTGTCTTACTGAATGATAATTCCCCTCTTGTCACGATAACTTTCTTATGCCAATAGATGTATTAAGCCAACCTTAACATCAGCTCACTCAGTGTGTCTGGCGAGATAAGTCGTGACCACAGATAAAGGCGCATCTCTCTCTTTCTCTCTCTCTCTTTCTCTCTCTCTCTCTCTCTCTCTCTCTCTCTCTCTGTCTGTCTATTCAATTCAAGAAAGCTTTATTGGCATGTTTAACAACATTATTGCCAAAGCCACTTGGATACACATATAAAAGAAGATAACTGTGTTGAACAGAATTTAAATTTTATCACCAAATAACACAGTTGAAGTAATAATCACAAACAGAAATGGAGTTGGTGACTTCAGTGGCTTTCCCTCAGGTTGTGGCAAGCTGCTGTCTAATTTCAGCATATTTGCATATTCAGTATATTTCAGTCTCAGTAAAAATAAATAAATAAATCAGTAAATGTGTGTGTGGGTTTGTGTGTACAAGATGGCGCTGTGTAAAGCTGCCTGGTGTTAGGTGCGCTTTGTTTTGTTTTTGTGTGTTAATTCAGTTTTCGGCTGTGATTCATATTTATATATTTTTACATTTATTTATGTCAACTGTATGTTTGTCTACCTCATCACCAAAGCAAATACCTAAACACTACTTGGCAATAAAGCTCCTTCTGATCTTGATCCTGATTCTGAGTAGTATATTGTATGTTTGTTTATAGGATCAATGAAGAAACAACAATATATTAATGTAATAAAATCATCATAAGTATGAAACGTGGAATGTAAAAAACAAAAAACAGACCCATGAAGTAGTGGAGTAAGGGCAGACTAACTGCAGCTCTCATGTGTTGACAGTATCTCGCTGCTTATGGCTCTGATACTGTTTTCTCCAAGTAGATGTTGCATTTTAGTCTGGTCAGAGAGTGTATCAAAATCTGGGAATTTACATTTAATGTTTGTGAATAACTAATATCTTCACATGTGCTACATTGTAGTAGGAAATGTTGCTCTGTCTCCACCTGTGTCTGTGGACAGAGCTGTACATAATTAATGTCTTCCTCAGAAACTGATCTCTCATGGTGCTCAGATAGTCTGCCACCATGTACTGTCTGTTTAGAGCCAAACAGCATTGAAGTTTACTTTGAGTTTTTGTGGTAGATCTCCAGTAGTAAATGTGATTTTCTTTTTGGTCAGCTATAATTTGATTGGGACAGATTGTGTGAGGGCTGTCCTGAGGCCTTGAGCTGTTAAAGGAAGTGATCCTCAGGACCAGCTGGCTGAGGGGACTCCTCTCTATGTTCACCTCTTGGCAGTGGAGAGAGTAGGGGCCTTACCGAAACTGCTTGCTACTCCCTCTTCCTACTTAATTCCACTCCGTTTGCGTTTTCATGCGGAGGGTCCTCCACATTGAGTTTGCATCCGAAACCAGTGAGGGCGGAGTGGTAGTGGGTTGTTAAACCCTCAGATGCAGAGTCAGCACCGATGCTGGCTTGTTGAAGGTGTGTAACACCCTTTGCTGCACGATGAGGGACCTTTCTTTCAAATGCGAGTACTGCGTGATTTTGCCGGTTAACATGTAGGATTTTTTAATTCCTACACTAACATTTCATATCACCATTTACAGGTTAACAACGTAGCCCAAAGGTTATATTGTGTTTAATTAAAAAAGGCTCTTTTCTGATAGACAATAAAGCTGTTGTTGTTATTGAATCGTACTCATCTCATGCGAAAATCTTCAGCCAAAATAAAATAACAGGACAGAATAGAACCTGGCATAACTAGATACACAGGGGGATCACGTAACAAGCAACAAAGGCATTAAAGAAAAAGAAAAATAATAATATATTAATGACAAATGCTTTCAGTTTCATTGTTTAAAAAAAAAAAAAAACATACTTTTTTTTAACATCAATCCTGAATCTTAATACAACTGTTGTTTATGTGATACACGTATTATAGCGGTGAGTAGGCCTAGGCTACAGTAACATCAGATCACTCACAGCCAGATTGAAATTTCCTGTAGAGGTAATTTTTAGTCCTAAATATGTGTGTTTGTTCTATGTCAGTGGAGCCCAGTAAGAATATTAGGATTTCCCTGACACCTGGGTCGTTTTTGGAAGACTATAACTCTAATCTTTTCCAGATTAACTGCCAGAACTCATTTATTATTTTTGTATACATTGTTTTAATTATGTCATAGGTTTCCCCCCTACACCCTTTTCAATTAATTGTCAATAAATTCTCTCTTTCTGTGTGTGTGTGTCTCTGTGTGTTGGTGTGGTTTTGTCTGTCAGTTCATTTTAATTCAATTGGCTTCATTGGCACACAATGTACAATGACTGGCATGTCATGTCTGTCTCTCTCAGGGTGGGTACTCTCTTCCTTTGTTCTCTGCCACACCTCACCTCACTCAACCATGCTTCTCATAAGGATGCCAGTCAGGTATTAACTGCCTAATGCTGCTACTTGTGAAATGATCAAAATGAGTCATGAAAAGTATGTTTTTTCGATGGCGATGAAATTAAAGGAATTCTGGTGTTTTGAGAAATTGTTGGAAATATTTTCTACTGATCATTATTGAAATACAAATCATTGTTGAAAAGACTCTTTTTGTTCATTGTTGATATATAGCAAATTCAGCCAGCAGAACACCTTGACATTCCTGCCAGGAAAACTCACTGCCTCACACATCTGATGATGTTTATCTGTGAATCAGCATGCAAACAAAATGTACTTTTAAAGACATTCATCTTCTCCATGATGACACAAGTGAGCACATTTTGACATGTCTATTGCTTGTCTTTGCAATAAAGCTGTTATTATTATATATATGTAGCCTAGGGAAAATACACCATTGTTTCCAGTTGGAACCAAGGTTGATCAAATAAGTTAGATGCTTAAATATTGGTGTCAAAAGTCAGACAACAGATCAGAAAAGGTAGACCAGGTAGAATAAGGCCCATAACAGGAAGAGCAGAAAGAAAACATATAAATTAATGTTCAACGGAGTTTTTTCCCTAAATGATAACAATATCCTGTCTAATCAAAAATATGGATTTTGACAAAAACATACATGGCTCTGTTACAACTTACAGACAAAATGTCCACAGCACTGGATAATTATATGTTTAAAATTGGTATATTTTTAGACTTATCAATGGCTTTTGATAAAGTCATAAAACTATGATTTCCAAACTTCACCGTTATGGCTTTTAGGATGTTGTCATCATCTAGCTTAGTGACTACCTTAATAATACAGACTAATATGTATCTATAAATGGCTGTATTTCCAACTAAATCAAGCTATATTGTGGAGTGCCTCAAGGATTTATTCTTGGGCCACGTCTATTTCTCATCTATCTATATCTATATATATATATATATAAAACTTTGCTTGGTTGATTCTGTATAGTGCCCATTCTTTCTTGCTCAGAGAAGGCAATTACAGTGGGTACGGAAAGTATTCAGACCCCTTTAAATTTTTCACTCTTTGTTTCATTGCAGCCATTTTCCAAAAATCAAAAAAGTTCATTTTATTTCTCATTAATGTAACTCAGCACCCCATCTTGACAGAAAAAAAACAGAAATGTAGAAACTTTTGCAAATTTATTAAAAAAGAAAAACTGAAATATCACATGGTCATAAGTATTCAGACCCTTTGGTGTGACACTCATATTTAACTCACATGCTGTACATTTCTTCTGATCCTCCTTGAAATGGTTCTACTCCTTCGTTGGAGTCCTGCTGTGTGTAATTAAACTCATAGGACTTGATTAGGAAAGGCACACACCTGTCTATATAAGACCTTACAGCTCAGAGTGCATGTCAGAGCAAATGAGAATCATGAGGTTGAAGGAACTGCCTGAAGAGCTCAGAGACAGAATTGTGGCAAGGCACAGATCTGGCCAAGGTTACAAAAAAATTTCTGCAGCACTTAAGGTTCCTAAGAGCACAGTGGCCCCCATAATCCTTAAATGGAAGACGTTTGGGACGACCAGAACCCTTCCTAGAGCTGGCCGTCCGGCCAAACTGAGCAATCATGGGAGAAGAGCCTTGGTGGGAGAGGTAAAGAAGAACCCAAAGGTCACTGTGGCTGAGCTCCAGAGATGCAGTCGGGAGATGGGAGAAAGTTGTAGTAAGTCAACCATCACTGCAGCAATCTACCAGTCGGGGCTTTATGGCAGAGTGGCCCGACGGAAGCCTCTCCTCAGTGCAAGACATATGAAAGCCCGCAAAGAGTTTTCCAAAAAACACATGAAGGACTCCCAGACTATGAGAAATAAGATCCTCTGGTCTGATGAGACCAAGATTGAACTTTTTGCCGTTAATTCTAAGCGGTATGTGTGGAGAAAACCAGGCACTGCTCATCACCTGTCCAATACAGTCTCAACAGTGAAGCATGGTGGTGGCAGCATCATGCTGTGGGGGTGTTTTTCAGCTGCAGGGACAGGACGACTGGTTGCAATCGAGGGAAAGATGAATGCGGCCAAGTACAGAGATATCCTGGAAGTCATCCAGAGTGCTCAGTTCGTCGGCCTCAATTACTGAGCAAAGGGTCTGAATACTTATGACCATGTGACATTTGTTTTTCTTTTCTAATAAATTTGCAAAAATTTCTACATTTCTGTCTCTGCTGAGTTTACGTTAATGAGAAATAAAATGAACTTTTTTGATTTTTGGAAAATGGCTGCAATGAAACAAAGAGTGAAAAATTTAAAAGGGGTCTGAATACTTTCCGTACCCACTGTAATTGCCTTCTCTGAGCAAGAAATCAAAGTTTGCTTTTGATATGACACTATTGGTCTGCGAATAGAATGGGCACTATACAGAATCAACCAAGCAAAGTTTTATAGATAGATAGATGAGAAAAAAGACATGAAATATAATAAAATAATATAAAAAAAATACTTGTCAAAGCGAAAATTTTAGTGCGTTTGTGTTAGCCATGTCTAACTGTTTCATGTATTGTTATTTCTTCCTTTTTATTTTCCATCTCCACGGGTATTAAGATAAATTGTAAATCCTAAAGGGGAGGTTTACTATGAGCCCTTTGGGGTTTCTTAAATGTCCTGCACAATCCTTGCCATGTCACTCCACACCCACCCACCCAATCTGCTCTTTTTGTTAATGATTAAAAACAAGTTGCTCCCTCAAA